TGAAATCCTTCTTGAGGGACCCGAGTCGCCTTTCGGCTTATCCCGGAATGCCACGAGTTGGTCGTGAATGGCGATAGGGTGATTTGTGGACTAAGAGACCGTAAAACTGAGTTGTCACTTTGTTGTACAATGTTGTATGAACGATTGTATCTCTACACCATAACACAAGGCCCATACAACATCTTGCTTTGGCCAGCACAGACACCTATAGTGAGTGAGTGAGTGAGTGAGTTGTGAATGTTACTGAGGAAGCAGTTTTTACACACACATAAATATTTCCTTTATCTTTGTAATGAAGGTAAGTGACTCGGATCAGACCATAGAGAGAGGCGTGCATTTAGGGGTGACTATGAGAACAAGATACTTCCCCCAATGTATCATAGCAATCAAATCAGTTTTAGATATATTTTACTTTCCACTGTTCTAATCGTGTATGTATAATCCATCACAAATAACCACAGGTAAATATCTGAAACAAACGTATCAGTGCCAGAGTACTGGTCGTAAATGGTCTCCATATCTCAGTGCTGGCGTGACTGATGGGAGACACCACTGTGAACCCCAGAGTAATAGCTTACAAAATCCTATCTATAATACAGTTTCGAAATAATTGCATTTCGCACTACATAACTACTAAATGACTTTATCGCGCGTATCCCGTGGGGTAGCACTCTGGTGCTTTGTGTCGGGGTTCTTGTGGGCTACCCTGCTGGTAACAAATTACCTTGCTTTCAAATTAATAATTGCCCTTTAGGCTACCTGCTTTTCAGCGGGAACATTTCCGGGGTTATCTGCCTTGTCTTTCCCGACTTTGGAATCGTAAAATAGCTTACGTTGGGTAACCAGTTGCCACCCATATTGGCCCGGCGGCGGTAGTCGTCATGTTAGCGGTACTTGACCTTTGGGCCGGCGGCGGTAGTCGCCACACTGGGTTTACTAATTGGGCCAGGCAGCGTGGTAGTTGCCAAGCAATGGCAGCGTTAAATGTGCTACCGGGCCGGGCAGCGATAGCAGCTAATCGCCGTCGGCAACGCTAGTTGCCATGGAAACGGTATTTTGCAGTTGCTATTGGTATCATGCAAATTATGGCCTGATATGCCAAAGGAGAGGCACGGGCCACCAAACTGCGGATGCCAAACACCAGATGAGATCGGATTAAATGGCCGAGGGTGTGCAGGTACTAGTAGGCTACTCAGCTGCTGGTTGGGTATACGAAAAAGCTACCGTTTCCATGGCAACTAGCGTTGGACCCCGGACCTTCCGCTCTGGCGGATTAACAGTTGATGAACAGGCGTGTGGGGTACACTCAGTAGTGCTCCTTTGGCTTTAACTGTCAAGACGAAAATGTTGAAAGAGTTAAGACCATTTTCCATTCCTTCTCGGTTGACCAGTTCCTTACAATTAAAATTGGACTGTAATGTTTGGAAATAATTATTGACACTGTTATGATTAGACGAGCTACAGAGCTACAGAGTTTCTTAACCCTGGGCAGATTGCTGTTACTTGCCTTGACCAGCCCGTGTTTGCCCTTGCCATGTAAATGCGGAAATGACCAATCACTCAGAGAGACGAAGTGCATGTTGTTATGTTCGGAGGACTGCACACTGAAACAGCTCTTTCGAAAACAAACGGAAATCTACTTAATGGACCCAGCTGGACAACAGCTGTGATAGAAGGAGCTGTAGTACATTCACTCCTGAAGGCGTCGCATGTGACCTGAACCAGACACTACCACAAAGTTACGCTTTACTTCTTTCAAGCAGATCCAGAGATGATGGGACTCTTTTGTTCTTTGCCCTCGACCATACTCATGCACGATGGGCACCCATTCATATGAGAGACGTGAGATCACAGCAAGAAGCAGTCAGAGAAGAATTTGACAAGAATTACCAATGGGTAATCTCCAAAACGAAAAACACATTTTCTTCTCATGAGCAGGAGAACAAGCAAGTCAAGGGTTCAGGTGGTGCAATTGAATTAACAGGAAACCCCACTGCTTTCAGATGCCAGATGCTGTCAGTGACCGAGCTAGGTGAATCAAACAGTTTGAGTATGATCCAGATCTTCCCATCACCATGAACCATGGCTTTCCGTACAGGAAACATTTCGAAAGCCTTTCAGATACCATCAGAATAATGGGAAACCCTTTCATGGATGATTTTGGCGACCTTGTTCCTCTTGATATCTGGAACTGCATGACAGAACCAGCTGTAACCACAGGACACACACTGGATGATGTTGGAAAGAAGCAGTATAATAGATTTCGGAAAAGGATGACTGAAGATGGGACCCAGTCGATTCATGAACCTCTGAAGAGACATTCTCTGCCACTAAGTCATCTTCTAAACAAGGACTGTGAGAGTAACTCTTAAAGAAATTCTTTGTTCATGAGATCCAGGCATTCCCACCTTCTCTCTCTGATTTTGGGAAATTGTGGTTACCCTGTGTAATGTCTGACCGTTTTCGATGCTGTGATCAGTTAAATCAACAGGAACCATCAGCTTCTTATTACTACTAATCTTAGGGTGGAGCAGTTGTTGTCCATTCCTTGCCTACTAGAGGAATTCACAACTTGAATTATTTTGATGACAGTGTTTTCATTCCATATATCAGAGGTCAGCAAGGATCGTCATTCATGCTGTGTATGCTTTGGGAAATGGTGCGACCCAGTGCAGATATGTACAATGGATACGGATGTTTTGTTCATCCTTACTTTCATGACCTGATTGCACTACAATCCTAAGCTATCTTTGGCTACTTTCCCATCAATAAAATGTGTACATTTGGAACAGCTGCATGTTCATGCTTCACTGGTGTTTCGGGCCTTTTCAGGGTGTGACACAACATCAGCCTTTGTTGGGAAAAGTAAAAGGTTAGCCTGGCAAGGTTGGCAGGATCTAGATAAAGTCACAGAAACCATCCACAAAATTCGACCGATGGACAAGCTTCTTCCATTTCTAGAAGCCTTGCTACACAATACAATTTCTATCCCCTGGAGGTTTTGGGTGGACCAAAGTCGGTACATCATGGAATCCAGTTTAGATGCACGGAAGTTACCAAATGTATCAAAATTACTTATAAATGATTAAAACTCATTTGGACTATACGCCGCTTTGCTGATGCAAATGTTCTGGTCTGTAGTCATGAACTTGTGCTACCTTAACATCATTCAGACAGACTGAATAACATAGTCTGTCTCCATTATCGGTCAGTGTATGAAAAGACCTTTCATTATATATATATATATAGCATGTCACAGTTGTGAGTAAGATTAAACTTTTCACTAATTTTTACATGCCGGAAAAGTGATTTAGCGGCCGTATTGGATTTTAGTGGCTACCGGAAGTTACAAAATCTTTCAGTGTGCCCTGTAACAGTTATTTGGTTAAGCCCCTTGACCATGTTGACTATTATAACGATTGTCAAAAGCAAGGCAATTTGCGCTGTTGTCACATATTCCTTGCATGTACGTTTTAGGAAGCAAAAGCCAGACACAACACTGGAAGGAGTTCATAGGGGGTCAGAATATGGCCGACCTATCCTAATATCATTCTGAAGTTCTGCCTCAAAAACCTGTTCCCATCTCCCATAAACATAACCTGCACATTGCAAGTTTTCCTGGAATGTACGCATTTATAATATTTTACGCCAAAAGGACAGTGGTGTGTGAGTCGGACAGTGACAATAGTCAATATAGTTTTAACTGAAATCGGTTTCTTATACAGTGGCGTAACTGCATACTGGCAAAATAACAATTGCCTACTCAGATTGTTTCTACTTGCCTTTCGCGGCAATCCATCGGTCTGTCGGCTAGAGTAACTGCCCTATATCTCAACTACTCTTGACCTTAGTCTATGAGACGTGACGTTTGTTTAGAGTCTGTCATGTCAAAACGTTAAGAAGTGCAATCAGATGTACATACGGCGAAAAAATGAAACAATTTGACATATTTTGGTCAAATACAACAGTTATAATTTATGGAAAAGACCCCAAACCGCAGAGGTTTACAAGCACAGTTATGGACACTGTTCTCGCCAGGCTAGCCTATAGTTTCCTCGCTAAATTGTTCACGATATATATCTCAAAAGTTGCCAAAACTTGAAAAATACCTCAGCTACGTCCAAGTTAGACAAAAAATATTTTCAGTATCTTAGACTATTATTTCGATACTGATAACAATTATCCCAGTAGTTTCTCCTAATACCTGATAGTTAATGCTGACTCGATCGCCGATTGAAAGTAGTAGGGTAACTACCTGACCTTTAATTCACATTTGCATCTTTATCCGTATATCAAGGATATATGACCGTAAGCTTTATGCTGTCGAGAAACCTATCCATTATATGATAAAAATACATCCATGGTAAATGGCAGTAAAGGGTTTATGTATTTCGTTATATTTCCCTTGATATTTAAATTCTATATGGTGCTTTTTCACGTAATAAGGTCAGTTGTTTGCCAATGTAGCACCTTTTCATAAGGATTTGTTTGTCGGTTCGACCCTGTGCTGTTTCAGTCTACTTCAGTAGAACACGCTACAATCTCCTCACAGCGATACCCGTTCGCGCACTCACAACTAGACTGGATCAGGCTGAAACGGCACTGCGTCAAAACGGCACGAAGATATTACTTACAAAAACGCCTCAAATTTATTATTCAGTATGTTTGCTGTAAACAAACATATAGTTTACGAAATAATAATAATGACACAATACATTCTTTAATGCTGATTTCATTCGAAATAAAGCTGGCTAGACCTGCTTTTTTAGATTGGTTTTGGTTTCACTAAATACATTGGACGAGAGGCTTACATCTGTCAACATTATCCTTCTAACACTTAACATTACACGAGATTGTGACATACATAACCAGCTACATTCTAGTTTCTTACCAAGAACTTACTGTTGTTGACATAAAAAAATTCAGTTAATGAAACGATGTTTAGACTCAATGCCGTTTTTACTAATTGCCATTTTTGACGTGGTACCATTTTAGCAACACACAAACAGGGCCTTATCGAACGCGCTACGCTTAGAAAGGAGGTTCGGAGCCCAGAACGATACCTCCGGAAGAGTAGGTGTTTAAGTGACGTTTGTGATTGTTCATGTTTATCACAATTCACATAAGAGCCTTAACTTCACAATACTATTATTGTCAGCTTTGGTCTACACTCACATAAATTCAAATAGCGACGCGACGTGTTGGTGCTGGGTTTTCCCTGCTCAGGTTTATTTATGTAAGGGGAGGGGATTTCCCCATCTAAACTTGTGTCAGGTCTAGAATACGTTTCCCTCAAGCTTACCTTCTCGTGCTCTCCATCCTTGTTTTACACCACTGTTGGTGATTTCTCTTTCAGACAAACCCGTGAACATTAGGGAAGATAGCTGGACACTTACAGTCGGGATGAGACTCTAGAAATTAGCAGATTGGTATCAGGAAGAAAATTTGAAATGGGTGACACCGATCAGGAACAGCTGCGCTACAGGACGATGATCCTCAGTCTAAACAACATGATCAAGCCAGAAGAGGTTGTGTCGATGAAATTTTTGTGTCAAGATTTCATCAAAGCAGCCCAAAGAGACAAAATAAAGGACTTTCTGGAATTGATAACTATTTTGGAGGAAAGGAAGAAAGTATCTTCAGAAAAGATAGACTTTTTAACATTTTTGTTAAATAATGCTACAAAGGGCCGAAGAGATGTGTTTGATGCAGTTCATGAGTACCAGCCGCAGGATGAAGTAATGGACGCCACCCCTGAATATCCAGCACAGAGTAAGCAGTGACAGTTGATTCAGCAACATTTTATTGTTATATGTTCAAAAGAATATTATTGTAATACTCTTTATTACTATTGACTTTTCTCATGTTTACTGGGCCTCATCACAGCCACTATCATCAACCCCCTCACAGCCACTATCATCAACCCCCCACAGCCACTATCACCCTTCACAGCCACTATCATCAACCCCCTCACAGCCACTATCATCATGCACCCATCACAGCCACTATCATCACCCATCATAGCCACTATCATCAACCCCCCATCACCCCCTCACAGCCACTATCATCACCCCCTCACAGCCACTATCAACACCCCCCTTAGCCACTATCATCGCCCCCCACAGCCACTACCATCACCACATCACAGCCACTATCATTGCCCCATCACAGCCACCTCTGTGACACTGACTAGAAGTTAAAAGAGAATATTTATTTATCATGTGTCACACATTAACATGATCAGATTTGAGAAAAGTTATTTATGAAACTTAACAGATTCCCCAGATAACAAATTCATGTAGACATGTATTTACATTTTAGTCAAAGAATACAGAATTGTTATGAACTATAAATGTGCTTTTTTTCTTTTCTTTTCAGGAGATTATTCCAATCCAGGTGAGAGACTAGATTATACTTCAGCACTTGATAGAATAGAAAATACACTGTAATATTTCCTCATTTGTTGCAAAGCTAGATTATACTTCAGCACTTGATAGAATAGAAAATACACTGTAATATTTCCTCATTTGTTGCAAAGCTAGGTGGAATATTTAGTCTACTATATTTCTAGTTCAATTGTTGAGGTCAAACTATCTGTTTGAAAGGGAATCCAGATGTTAACATAATGGATTGAGAATTTGCTCTGAATGTCTGCCATCTCATTGAACTTTAAAACAAATTTTATCAGTAGAGAGAACTAAGATCTGAATTTAGGAGATTGGAAAGTATGTCATGAATCATTGATATTAATTACTAAGATAAGTTTCAGCCGAACAGGACTGATGGTCCATGTGAACTTAGGACATTTTCTGTCACCCATTCATGAGATAATAACGTTTGGTGTGACGTTTCTCAGACAATATATCATGGTGCAATAGGTTCATGCAACATATGACCCATGAAGATCTGGGTGGAGAACAGTTCTTCAGCAATCAATGCATACCATAAGAGGCGACTAACAGGATCGGGTGGTCAGGCTCGCTGACTTGGTTGATGCATATCATCTGTTCCCAATTGTGTGGATAGATGCTCATGTCAGTCACTGGATTGTCTGGTCCAGACTCGAATATTTTCAGACCGCTGCACATAGCTCCAAGCGGCGTTAAGCCTAACTCACTCTCACTCAAGATATTCATGTATCAATAAAGATAATTGGATGTTTCAGAACTGAGGCAGCCAATCGATCTGCTAAAGCGGAAACTAGGACGAGACTGGCGGTTCTTTGTGAGGCAACTGGGGGTGGATGATGTCGAGATTGACAATCTAGCCGATGCATTTCCTCGGGATGTGAAGGAACAAATTCACAGAGCTATCAAAATTTATTTGAATGAAAAGAGAGAAAGGTCATCCAAGCAAGATCTTATTGATGCCTGTAAAAAGGTTCGAAGAATGGACCTTGCAAGGAAACTGGAAGCTAATGAATATAATTAATTTCAACCTGGGAAAACTGGTGAAACTGAACTGTAGACAATGTCATGTTCTCTCGCCAGTAGTGGAGTTCAAGCAACTCATTTCTGATAGAATGGCATGGAATTGGAATATTTTTGGTTGCCTTTTTGTTACCCCTAAGAAGTGTACTGTTCACTTCATTTGCCAACGGACGAAGTGAAGTTGTCAAATTGTTTGTATGTTAGCATCATTGTGATGGAGTTTATCACAACTTGGTGCAATCAGACCAGCATGTCTGATTTTTTTACTAAAAAATGAAGTTAAATGGTCAGTGCTGCATGTGAACAATAAGGGTTATGCCAATTGTGGATATAAATTACACCCTGTTGTTTCTGAGCAGCATGGCATCAGCTCCAAGGTCGTTTTGGAATCAAGGTAGTAAGGAAATTACACCAGGTCATTTTAGGAAGCTGACAAAAAAAACCGCACATCTTACAGTTAGATTGGGTGGTCAAAGTTCTCTCCTGGTTCACCTGACACGACATCTTATGGTGGGGTTGTCACATTGTCTCACTGGGAGGTGAGATGTACTTTATCAGAGTAAAAGATCTGATTTTAACAAGATTTTGGAGCAACTTCATCGCTTAAAATGTGGAATATATCTCAAAAGTGTCTTATTTCATGAATATCAGGTTTTGATTTCACTCAAAGGAAATAATATTGAGCAAATAAATACATATTTGACAGACAGTGATAATGTGGACAGTGATTTATGTTTAAGTTAAAGAGACGTCGGATGATTCTTTGAGATATATTATGTTCCAGTGGATGAAAATAACATAATTTAGGCACACAGCTATGACATTCTAAAGCTACCTAAGATGGAATCAATGTGCATGTTGTTACAATCAATATGCGTCATTTTAAATTAGGTGATTTAAGTGACGGCTATCTGAACATGTACTAATGAGTATTCAAATAGAATATACATTTGCAGTGTACACAATAAAGCTATAGGAAACATCATTTGAGTTTTGGTAACTATTTTCAGCTAGACCATTCAGGTGTCTGATGACTTATTTAGATGCCTTATTTAGATGCATTAAATGGTTCAGAACACAAGATTTGCTGGAGCAGTCATTATTAACGGGGGATATAAATAAGCATAGATTTTGAAGGTTTGTGCTTATAGGTGGGGTCACTTTATAGACAGCGATATACAGTATTAGTCTCATGTCCCGCTGTAGAGCATTTGACTTGTGATCTCTTCTTAATGATGACCTCTAACAAAGATGATGCAGACAATTTGGTGAATCCACAACCACAGGTGTGGTGATGACAAAGCAGTAAACAATCCAGGATTAAAACCCCAATATGAATTGGGGGCAGAGTGGGCAAGCGGTCACACAAGCCAGGTGCTGAGATCGTATCCTGCTAGTGAATGAGTTGTTATTCAGCCTTGGTACCAACAATGTTTATAAGTCTCTACAGTGTTGTCACTACCCCTAGTGTACAGTACATATAACCTGTGCACTCAAAAGAACCCACTCGTCCGATGGTATATGACCAGATGGTGCAAACACAAATACGTACATACACCCGAAACACAAGTGTCAAAACTTGGTGTCACCCTGGGCAAGTGACGTAGTTCAAATGTGCCTCTGCTCCCCCAGCAGGGAATGGGTACCCTACATGTGAGATGGATGTAAAAACCTTCTAGCGCCCCTAGGCAGCTTGGCTTGTATACTCCCCAGGGAGATGAGAATGATAACTGGAATGCAAATGGATTCACTGGTCGGGGAAAAAACAAAAACACATTTGAGCTGATACTAATACCTGGGTAAATGTGGTATATAAATGTATTCTGGTAGAACCTTAAAGCATCCATATTTTTCTATGAGCTGCTGTTTACTTTGTAATTTGATTGCCATGGAAGCCTATGTGTTTCAATTGCAAGTTCACATCATCTGCAAAATACATGGGAGATCACTGCATGTGTATTCTGTGCTAGGTCAAGGGACAGGAGCATACTGCTCGTTCCCAGGTGTAAACTAAGACAGCAGTACGTACAAAACAATATGTGGTTTGTCATGAAACATGCAATATAGTCGCATAAGAAGCTCCAGGTCAGAACTGATCTTCAGCAACTCCTTGTAAGAGGCAACTAATAGGATCAGGTGGTCAGACTCGGTGACTAGGTTGGTTGGTTGTTGTTGTTTAACGCTGCATTCAGCAATATACCAGCTATATGACGGCGGTCTGGACCAGAAAATCCAGTGATTGATATCATGAGCATCGATCCACGCAATTGGTTGATGCATGTCATTGTATTGCATAGATCGATGTTCCTGATGAATTTCATTTAGTGAAATCTACCATGGTGACCTACTTTATCAAGTTTCATTTAACACCCCTGTATTTCAGTCACAAGGTTAGAACTGAACTGAAAAGCTCCACTAGCCCAGGTAACGATAAAATGCCCTTGTAATGTTAAAACAAGGGGAAATTGGAAAATTTGTACTAGCCCACAGGAATTTGTACTAGCCCCAGAATAGCGGCTAGTGTCAATTTCTAACCCTGAGTCATATTATGGCTGTCGGCTTGTTGATGTGGAAGAATAGCCGGTGATGCAGGTCTTGCCTCCGTTGAAGGTCAATCACAATGGCCACAAGTGTATGAAAGCATCAAAAAAACAAACTTTTAACAGGTAGTGTCAGTATACCAAATATAAAAAAATAAATGGTGGGACTTAGTTTGTTGCACTAGTATATGGAAGTTCCATCCACCTCCCTTGCGGACTTCAGTTTTTGACTACATATGTATTATTCTTCCTCACTTGGTCATTCCCCAGGCCTCCATGCCAACTGACGAGGATCAGGTGGCTCCCAGGAACTATATCTTCATGTCTGTGTGGTTTGTATGATGCAAAGATATATACTTGTATGCCCCGCATCAGTAAGCCTTCCAGCAGACAGCATATGGCCAGACGAGACAGGCCGGAGTACCGGTATGTGAAGCAGGTATGTTTAACAACGCTTTGACCAGTATTTTTTATCGCGGCATGTCACCTTAATGTGGGAGGATAGCCTGAAATGATGCAGGTCACATGTATCGCTCAGGTGAAACTCTAGAGTTAGGTATTGTGCTGTGAAACCCCAGAGTTAGGTATTGTGCTGTGAAATCCCAGAGTTAGGTATTGTGCTGTGAAATCCCAGAGTTAGGTATTGTGCTGTGAAATCCCAGAGTAAGGTATTGTGCTGTGAAATCCCAGAGTTAGGTATTGTGCTGTGAAATCCCAGAGTTAGGTATTGTGCTGTGAAATCCCAGAGTTAGGTATTGTGCTGTGAAACCCCAGAGTAAGGTATTGTGCTGTGAAATTCCAGAGTTAGGTATTGTGCTGTGAAACCCCAGAGTTAGGTATTGTGCTGTGAAATCCCAGAGTTAGGTATTGTGCTGTGAAACCCCAGAGTAAGGTATTGTGCTGTGAAATTCCAGAGTTAGGTATTGTGCTGTGAAACCCCATAGTTAGGTATTGTGCTGTGAAATTCCAGAGTTAGGTATTGTGCTGTGAAATCCCAGAGTTAGGTATTGTGCTGTGAAATCCCAGAGTTAGGTATTGTGCTGTGAAATCCCAGAGTTAGGTATTGTGCTGTGAAATCCCAGAGTTAGGTATTGTGCTGTGAAACCCCAGAGTAAGGTATTGTGCTGTGAAATTCCAGAGTTAGGTATTGTGCTGTGAAACCCCAGAGTTAGGTATTGTGCTGTGAAATCCCAGAGTTAGGTATTGTGCTGTGAAACCCCAGAGTAAGGTATTGTGCTGTGAAATTCCAGAGTTAGGTATTGTGCTGTGAAACCCCATAGTTAGGTATTGTGCTGTGAAATTCCAGAGTTAGGTATTGTGCTGTGAAATCCCAGAGTTAGGTATTGTGCTGTGAAATTTCAGAGTTAGGTATTGTGCTGTGAAACCCCAGAGTTAGGTATTGTGCTGTGAAATTCCAGAGTAAGGTATTGTGCTGTGAAACCCCAGAGTAAGGTATTGTGCTGTGAAACCAATGAACATAATCAGGGCAAACCTGAGATTCCAACCAAGGATCATATGAACATGACACACTTGAGGGATGGAACTGAGTAAATGGACGATGAACTTTAGGCATCTGGTCCACCTGTGCAACTAATTGTTTACAATGAAGCACCAAGAGATTCATTTGACAATTTATTCATACATTTCTTTACATTTTTTTCTCTATTGTCAAGAAGGAAAGCTAAATTGGGCATTGCAGGAAAAGACACAAGCACAATCAATCATCCATTCATTGCTATCGTGAGGACGAGCACAAGGCTGAGACAGCCAGCCAGCGAGAGGCCACAATACAGCCAGATAAAGCAGGTTCCCCTTGCCGAATAATCAACGTTGATGGATATTATCTTGTTTAATGAGAACTGCAGAAGGGTATTCCTCCACACAGCCAGGGGGACAAAGTTGTAGTCACATGTCGGCCTGCTGACTCCACTGACTCCAGTTATTCTGAAAACAAAGTGATGTCACTGTCAGATTAAATTGTTATTTCGTCATTTGAGACCACAGAAAATGATGAACTATGTAAGCCATTGCTATTCCTACAATCCATCATCCGTGCCTTCAAGAGATACTGAATGAGTAGGGTTTTACGCCACTTTTAGCAATATTCGTGCAATATCATGGCGGGGAACACCAGCATTGGGCTCAACACATTGTACCCATGTGGGGAACTGAACCCAGGCCTTTAACCAGTAGGTTACCCCACCTCGCATGACTTTTAAGAGGAAACAATGGTTTGATTCCTTTACTTTGATCTCTTATAAATCCCGAGAAGTTGATATTACAAAGCCGACAACAAAGGTGTACGACAAGCTGACGTGTACATGAGATAATAAGAGAATCTGGACTCCTTCCTATGCAGTTTTGTTTAACTGAATCACAAAATAACATAACCCAGCACATTTTCAACTCTGCATAACAATAATAAAACATACACTATCTATTATACCAGTTGTCAACAAACAACATTTTCATATTTTACAGAAATGTGATCTCAAAACCTAATACACCATTTTTTTTAACTGAGTAACCTTTTTCATGTTATGAAAACATTGTTTCCAAAAATTATGCAACACTGACAAAGCACTGTTTGTAAACTACTACAATGAACACTACAATAAGTAGTACAAACTACAGTGGATCACCAGTTCGTAGACATACAAGATGGGTGACTGATTGCCTCTATGTATGGTGGTGTTCACCCACCCCATTCTCTACAGGCTCGGAGAGCGGGGTCTTCATTCCACCAGGCCACATGGTGGGCACGCCATCTCCACTCATGCGAGGGTTGTACATTGGGGGGATGGGGAAGTTACTAGGTACACCGTTAGGAAACATTGCCATCATCATCTGGGGATTCTGAAAACAGTCAAATAGAGGAGCTTAAATTGCTTGTTCCATGGGTCTTGAAGGCTTCTTCCAAAAAAGAAACATATCGTTCATAAAATGGCAAATAATGTCCAAGTTTTTTAAACATTTGTACAATGTTTGAAATTTAGCATGAAAGTCAAGGGGTCCTTGTAATAACCCCAACGTTAAGTTGAAATCAGGGAGATCCTAGATTCGAATGCTATAGGGAGAAAGCTCAACTACGCCAGGACTACCCATAATTAAGGAACACTGTAAATCTTATTACATAAAATAGTTACTACATAGTTACAAAATGTACATGAATAAATAGCGGAGTAGTGGGCAAAAACTGACAACATGGACAGGACCATGCACATAATATGCTGGTTATGTCGAAAGAGTATTCACCAGTTCAAATGTTTTAGAGACACACACACTTGGACCATACTTTGTTAAACGCTGATACATAAATAACAGTTCAGCCATTCCTCGAAGATTGACAAATTGACGGACTCTTGAGTCATTTCAGCTTTTGGACACAACATTCACGTCTTCAGTTTGCCGATTTCCTGTAGCTTTCTATGGTATTATAGTGAAGCAAAAACAGCTTTCATGGATACCGTATATCGCTGTGTATAAGGCGACTCCACGTATAAGACGACCCCCCTGTACACGCCTTAAAAATCAACCCAAAATCCTATACTCCGTGTATAAGGCGACCTGGAATGAAACACATCACAAGTCTGACTGATATACTGGTAGAAGATTTAACGTGCTCTGTAGCGTATTTCGCACACGGACATCACAAATCAGTCAGTTAATTACTTTGGAGATTTAATGTGCGCTTTCCGACTGATGCGAATTTCGCACACATCACAAGTGCACACACAAACCTTATATATGCAATAAAAATATGTTTATCTTGCATTGTTTTTTTTCTACAATGATAGGTCGCGTGTGTAACTCCGGCACACGTCGCCATTTTGTGTTTACACGGTACGACACCAAATTGGTGCCCGTAAAATAAAATTCATTTATGAAGTAATAACATATAAGAGACAATGGTGAGTAATTTAATCGCCAATTAACTATGTTGTAACTAACTAGGCTTATGTTTGATTCACATTCAGCGTGTTTATTCCACAATCACTTGTACACACCATCTCCAACACTTGTTAATACAACTGTAAAAACAGCGGGAATTGATTTCAGCTTCACCGGTTATCACATGTTAGGTCACATGTGCAATATGCAAATGATTACCGGTACTTCCGGCTCTCTACTCACGGATGTTGATTGTTTTACCGTGTCAGCTGGTTTGACAATCTGCATCGAGGAGAGGGTCATTTCAACTTTATTTGCAGAAATTATTAAACTTTATTCAAGGAAAAGAGATACAAATCATGTTTATGTATGGAAATAGTTATTGGAACAGTTATTTAGGACGAAATGCGAAGTTTTATTGTCAAATGCTGGGCTGGCTATCGGACGCCGGTTGACATCGCCAGTGGAAAAAAATGTGAGATCTTCGACTCCGTGTATAAGACGACCCCCCTTCTTAGCCCCCTCATTTTAGGTACGAAAAACTCGCCTTATACACAGCGATATACGGTATATAGTTTTTGATGGATAAACACTACATTTCATCATTAGAGAGAATATTTGTTCAACTAATCATATTCATTTTGATACATTGAGTCCAAAGGGTCTTGTACAAAATTCCTTTGGAATTTGTTTTCTAATGACTGACTGACTGACTGTTGCAGCTACCCACCACGAAATTCTGTTCCACTGCTGCCTCTATAGAGAGGCCTTCAGGAAACGAATTGGGATCTTGGGTTGGCTCGCCAGTGGAACCATCCCCATCCCGAGTGTAAGCCATGTTTCCCCCCGTTATCACAGATGATGTCCTCACAGAGGCTTGCATGGATGCACTGGTCATCATGGGAGATGTGCTAGGTGCCCACTCAGAATTCAGCTCTGAAAAATACAATGGTCAAGTATGAAGACATACTGTTCAAATCATGACGATCAGATCAGATAAGGTTGTATGTAAATGCTCTGCTTCAATTCAAGTTTTTTTTAATATGCATCATCTTTTCACATGCGTCCTACATATCCTACAGGTTGACACATAGCCAATAGGCAGTCTGGAAACCTACCAGATATTGCAGAGTTGAGGCCCCAGAGTTTGCTGAAGTCCCCGACAGGTCCAATATTCCCAGGACCTGTGCCAGGGGCTTTGCGATGACTCCGTTCTCCCCCAATAGGGCGCGGCACCCTCCGGTCATCCATATTGTTCTTGACAGGGTCCGGTAGCGGTGGTGTGCCTATTGGCATGGGTGAAGTACCTCGAGGGGGACCAATGGGACCAGGGGAGCCACTCTCTCCTGAAAGTCACAAAAATTACAAATAGCTGTAGTTCTATGGAGGTTGAGACTAAATTCAGGTCCTACTCAAAGAACTGCATTCGTACACGGTATTGAGTGAGGTAGCAATGGCAAAGTGATCTGGATTTGCTTGTTTGCCAACACTGCAATCAGCAATATTCCAGCCATGTCACATCAGCCTCCAAATATTGGATCATTGATATTAGTGGTTTACTGGAATATTGCTGATTGTGGCGTTCAACTACAAACTACACCTCGAATCACCATGGTTACAAAGTGATAGGATCTCAAGTTTATTACAACATACACAAACATACTTGACTGCCACCAAAAGTCTAACAATTAAGCTCCGTACAGTCAACAACTTCCATAGAACTTCACTGTCTTATGAAAAATCTGGGATTAAGAGACAACTTCTTTTAATGACTATTGATACATTACCACAACAAAGTAAAACATTAGGTCCATCAATTACCTTGAGACATGCCAGCCATAGATGGAGCACTGTTTGGGCGGGCATGCGGCGGTGGCATTGGGGAGAGGGTGCGAGATATTATCTGGGGCAGGAAGCCTGGATTCTGTCCGTTCGGACCTGGAGGACCAACTGGTTGATTCTGACCCCCTCCTTGAGGCATCTGGTTTCCCATCTGACCCAACTGGTTGCTGCTCATCTGACCACTAAGATGATCTCTGCCTATCTGATTCGGAATCTGGTTTGGCATTTGGTTATTCATTTGACTGGACATAGGGTTGGGCATCTGGCTGTTCATCTGATTTCCCATTGGGTTGGGTATCTGGTTACCAACTGAGCTAAGCTGCTGCAGCATCTGGAGCTCATTGGGGATGGAGAAGTTGCCTTGAGGCATGTTGGAGAAGTTGAGCAGCTGCTGGGCGTTGAGGAGTTGTTGGTGGAGAGCCTGGAGTGCACTGGGTGGCAGTGGATGGAGTTCCTGGCCGATGCCACCCGGAAGGCCATTCACCATCTGGTTCATGTTGGTGGATGAGATTTGGAAATCAGGAGCATTGGGGTTTAAAGTGCTCTTAATCTCAGGGAGTGTCATTGGCTGATTTGGCATACTGTATTCTTCCTTTTGACTAGAGAGAGAAGAGATAGAATGTTGACTGGAGTCAAGGGGTGTGCCTGTCTGGCTGCGTGGAGAGAGTCCACTAGGTGTGGATGTGTTGGACCGAGGGGACATCCCTGAAGGTGGCATGTTTCCACGGAAACCTGGTGCTCGTGTCATATCCAGTTCGCCCATGCCTCCTTGCATTGCTTGAACTGGAAGGTGAAAATTTTTAAAACCTGGATTCTTGCTTTGTTCCATATCTTGACGAAACTGAGGAGAACCTGTTCTGCCTGGTTTGTATCCTGGAGCCTTGGCCTGTAGGCTCGGGTCAACTTTGTGACTCTCGCCACTGAGGGCGGAGGCCACATTGACATTAGACAGAGGACTGGAAAGTGTAGATACCACTCCAGCAGCAGCTACACTGGCGAAGTTCATCTTATCAGTACTATCATCCTTCTTGCCCAAGATCTGGGCACCATAATTACTGAACAGATTGTTGAAAGGCAAATACTCTCCAGGGGTGGAGGACCCTGGGGAAGGCGTAGCCTGCTGCCCAACATTGGGTACATTATTTCCAGTCCCATGGCTTGCTACTATTGGCAGAGGTTGAGGGTCAGGTTTTGTTTGAGCTTGACGTGTGAGAAGCTTAACAGGACCAGTAACAGGTTTCGGAGCAGATTTGATGGTGACCTGATCTCTGTTGTCGGGCCTTCCACGAGTGGAATTAGCACTTGACGGAACAACTTTAACTGCTGTGGAGGAGGAGCTGTAGGAGACTGTGGAGGAGTTGGTGAAGGTGACCACTGGAGATGTCGAGCTTCTCCTGTCTGACGGAAACAGCTGACGAGAAGCCGTCTTCTCCACACTGTGATGGTTTGGTGCAGGAGACCCAGAGTGACTGGAGGAAATCTGTTTTTGAGGGCTGCGTCTTGGTGATGTGGGAACAGGCTGGCTAGTTCCAGAGCCCTGCCACACCATAGATTGTGACATAGATGACTTCCCAGATGAGCTGTTGTTGCCCACACCAGATGAAGACTGACGAGTGCTGGAGGACTTGCTAGTGTTGGCTGGGGACTTGGTCGACAAACTACCTGATCCAGACGATGTCGAACTAGCAGAGTTGGACAAATTTGCAGCATTAAAAGTTCCAATGGCAAAGTCAGCAATAGTGACAGTTGATGGAGCCTTAGGCTTATTTTTAGCCAGAATTTCTGTCAGTTCTTTGTCTGGATCCTGCACCAAGGCCATGATCAGAGCATTAGCTTGACGAGTTGCCTCTGCAGACCCCCTGGAGATCAAAAGCACATATAGTCAAGAATAACATCTACATAATATTGCAAGGGTGTTGGTCTCGCTTGCATAAAGCCATGTTTGTGCTAGGACTTTAAGTCTGTTAATTATGTGTGCTACCGCAGTTTTAATGAAAGGAAGCCTATTACAGAAAGCCAGCCTCATGTTACACCTATTATCTCAGTGCTCAATACAAAATGTACTTTACAGGAGGTAATTTGTAGGCACTTTCAACATTCAAAAAAAGTCCAAATTGACATGGCAGAAACAGGCTATAGGCATTATGCAAACTAGCCTGGAAAAAAGTTATCAAAACAACAACAGCTATGTTTATGTACATAATAATAATGACATGTAAGTTGTTGTTTGAGAAGGGAATATGTTACTTTTATGTTCTGATATTTTGATGATGATTCACTATCCCACAATGCCACTCACAAATCACTAACCACTGACAAATCACATGCACATGGATTTCAAGCACCTGTTTTCACCCGTCGTCAAGGTGTCATAGGTCATGGACATTCACCTTGATCTACTAACACCTGGTTATGCTCAGTTTCACAATAGTCTGTTTTGTTCATATTTTTACACACTTTTACGTGTAAAAAGACATAAAAAAACCTGATACGCTGTATTTGTGCCAAGGCCCAATTAGTACTAATTGAGTTGTTTGAATATTTATATATTTTGTATATTAACTGCATTTATTTAAAATCTGAGATCGAAAAAAGTTTTTTTTCATTTCCGTGAGTACTTTAAGATAAGAAAGCACGCAAATATTTCGTGAATGAATTACAGAATGTATCTTAAAAAACAAGGAAAACCTTATGAGCGATTGTTTACTTACTAATATATTTCTGTTTGTGGAGAAAACAAATTTGTTCAGAACATTATCCAGATCTTGAGGACAAAATCATGAATAACCTACTTGATTGTTATAACTCTTTCTCCAGAGCCTTTAGGCTTCTCCACCTCCACATGGGCTCCGGACACCTCCCGGATAGCGTTGATGTTACAGCCACCTCGGCCTATCACACGGCTGATGGCATTGGAAGGAACTGACACCTTCTTGGATCTGAAATGGGTAATAACATTGGTGAAACAGACATCTATTAACTTTCTTCACATCAATATAACCTGCATATTCAAGACTTACTATCACATTTATAGTTATACAGTCATAGTACACATGTATTCCTCAGGAATTCCTGTTGAACTGTTATTTCAGTGTTGCATAATAATGTACACTTATGTGTTTAATTCAGAAACCTAGTACTGTGGACTGGTTACCAAAGAGCCAACAAACCCTACAAGAGAAACAACATTTGTTTTACCAGTCAAATAATGGCTTATAATACTATGTAGAATCATTATTCAAAGAAATAGTTTAAAACTTAAGGCACTAGTCCAAAGCAGAGAGTAAAGTTTATTTGAGGCTAGTATATTTTGCTGACAACAATGATACCCAAGTTCAAGCAAATTCATAAGAGATAAACTTCGATGGAATGTCTAAAAACTTAAAGTGTTAACTCACTTTCTCATGACCTCCTTCCAGCCCTCCTCCTTTTTCTGCCCCCGCTTGGGACTTGCAATGACAGGCGTAGATTTCAGGGACAGAGTGTTGGGGGACATGTCTGCTGCTGTGGGCTTCTCATGGTGGTGAGCCAGATTTTCCTTGCTCGTCAGGGGAGATGGCTGTGGTCTGCAGACACAAATAGACAGTGCTGCACTGTACGTACACTCTCATCAAGCACATAGATGCTCTTTCACCCTCAGTCCATAAAGACTCCCAATCACAGTAGCGAGAGTGAAATAGTGTTTACATTAGTGAGTTTGGTTTAAATGCTGCTCAAAAAGGTATTTCAGTTACATCATAGCATGTCAGCTTGATGTGGGAGAAAAGCCTGAAGTAATGCAAGTCCTAAGATGTTTACCACATAATCAAGGCAAACCAAGATGTGATCATAGCTTTGTGGCACACCTAAGGGAAGCAACTCTGCACTGCGGATTTGAGGCACCTTAGACAACTGGACCGGTGCCCGCAGGTTTTTCATGAAATAAGGTGATGGTGCACTGCTTATAATCAAATGTTTGTTTGTTTGTTTGTTGTTTAACACCACACTCATCAATATTCCAGCTATATGACGGCGGTCTGTAAATAAATGAGTCTGGACCAGACAATCCAGTGATTGACATCATGAGCATCAATCCACGCAATTGGGATCGATGACATGCATCAACAAATTCAGCGAGCCTGACCACCTGATCCCGTTAGTTGCCTTTTACGACAAGCATAGTTGCCTTTTACAGCAAGCATGGGTTGCTGAAGACCTATTCTAACCTGGATATTCACGGGTCAATTGTCAAATGATTCCCATCAAGTTGACTTGACGGAGTGATGCTGCTTAACACCGAGGTCAGCAATATCACAGCTGTTGTCATGACAGCCTATACATTTTGGGACAGGTAGCACAGTGGTTGACTGCATGTGCAACATCAATGCCACCAGGCAGGTTAGATAACTACACGATCCTCATCTCTGCTCTACAGTTTGATCACATACAGCTTCATAATAGGTAAAACATTAAGTACTTCATTCAAGACATTCCCAAAGAATGAATTATTTACACATTGTTCTTTGTCTTAGTAAGCTTTTCAATCTCCTTTTCAGATATCTTTGGCACAGACCCGAAATCATCCAGATCCCCAATCCCTGGAGAGTGAACTGCAACAGGAAATTGTAGATATTGAAACCAGGTATCCTTCAATGCACAGTTTACACACGATTTAGCTAAATTTTAAAGTGACCTGCCAACAACCATTGTTGATTGATATGATAAAAACAGAAGTTAAACTATTTCATTAATGGCAAAAGAGTTACTTCCCTTCCCACATTGAAACAAACAAAATCTCTCATTTATCTATCTAAATGGACAGCTATACATAATTGTTAACTGAAGTTACAATGTCAATCAATCATGTATCTCACTCAAAACTAGTGATAAAGGAAAGAAAAACAAAAAACAGTATTTTCATTGAACCTTAAACACTACTTCAAACATGTTTTAAAAGGAATCTTAAACAATGAAAGAAGGTGGAAAAGAACTTACATTGCAATGAACCTGCTGATTTAATCATCAGGTCCGGGTTGTTATTCTTCTTCCTCCGTCCCTCTCTATCCCGATCTCTTTCTCGGTGGTGCCCAGCATGTGCCTGCCTGCCCAATGTTATGTTCACTCGGCTTGTAGTGGTCGTAACAGTGGTAGTCATAATGCTGGTCACCAGACATGCGATGGTGGGGGTGACGATAGGAACTCGGGGTTCCGCTGACTCAGGGGGAGTCTCTCTTTCACGCTCCTGACGACTCTTGTTGCGCTTGTTCTTGCGGGACTCCATTGCGCTAGAGCTTGGGACCAGGGTTCCATTTTTGCGGCTGTTCTTGGGTTCTGTGTTGGATGTCAGAGTTGTTCCTGCGATAAAACATCCCAATAAAGTATTGCAGATACCAAGTACTCATCTATACCTCATGTAGCAAACATCAACCATATCAACACATCAAATCTAGCACCTTAATTATCAGAGGCAACAATGATTCCTCAGCAAACAAGACAAAAAGTGAGCAGGGCTCAGTCAAAACCCCTACATCGACTCTTACATATTTCTATGTTCAAAACATGAAAAAAGCAATATTTACTCAGAAAATCACACTTTGCATTGCACCTCTCCTATTGATATAGAAACTGTACCCCCAATTGGAAAAGAATCCATAAGTAGTTTTCAAGAGTCATATGTCGCACAAATGTTGAAGTGAAAAAAATATTTCAAGTTCACAACATGAAAAACATATCTATTCAGAAAATACACAAATCAAACGCAAAGGTTTCACTGCACCTCTTCTATTAGTATGGAAACTCTTCCCTCAATTTGAAAAGAATCTATGCAGTAGTTTTCTAGTTATAGGTCACACAAACTTGTAAGAAAAAGTTTAAAAAATCAGAAAATACAAATATTGAAATCAAACTTTGCACTGCACCTCTCACATAGGTATGAAATTGTTCACCAAGTTTGAAAAGAATCTATGCCATCGTTTTCAAGTTATAGGACACACACAAAAATGACCTCGAAAGGACGGACAGAATTCCTTGGTACAACTATATACCCCTGCCCTTCTAGGTCAGGGGTATACTGATAAGTTTGATCTGTTATGAATAGAATGTATAACAATAATGATGGTATATTGTAAACACAAGTATCAACCATTATCCATAATCATTCAAATACCAGTCAAATTTCATCATTATAAACAGTCAAAGTTCCTACCGATGGTGGAGGTTGTAGTTGCTGATGGTGGTTCTAGGGGTATCTCTTCCTCCTCCTCTTCTTCCTTCTCTAGTGGGATATCCTCGGTCTCCACACTCTCAGGTTCTGGGGACGAGTTCTTACTGCTGTAAACAAACAACAAGTGCTATTATAATATTCCACATCAGTGGTCGCTTATGGATTGAGCTGGATCCATGAATCAATCTATCGAAGCTCTGTCCAAACTTAGCTGTTGATGCATCTGTTCACTTAATGGCCTAGCCATTCTCAAGCAAGGTGCTAATAAAATACCATATAAAGAATGTGTGCCATTGGTAACATTTACCAGTCCAGCATGACCTTATTCATTTTCTTGACAAACCTTGAGTCCTTTTCTTTGTCTTTCTCCATTTTCTCTTTCCTTTTCTTCCTCCTGCGTTCTCGTTTCTTGGCTGCCTGAGCTTTTTTGTTCTCTTCCACCTGCCTTTCCTTGTCAATCTCCTCTAGTAAGATAGTAGCATTCTTGTTGGCCTCTGCTGCCTGGCGGTCCTTCGCATTCACAATGATCTCCATACACTGTTGACACTTCTTCTGCAGCTCCTTGAGTTAAAAACATACATCTCTAAAAACAAGAGTCAAACCTTTGAATATATTTCCTTCAAATATTAAGTGAGTAAACAGGTTTGAAGCCAAAGTCCCCTCAATCATAATGGCCTACATTGTTATCTGACTTCATACAAGGCCACACAGCATGCATATAAAGTTGATCTACAGTCGGTATTCAAATATAGTCAGCAATCCAAAAGTTATCCCAATCACACAGGCATCTTAACAACCCTGTCCTCATTCTAGTTGCTCTGCATAGATATTTTGACAAGATACTTATGTCCCATTCTGAACGGCTTGAGTTATTGAGTTGGTTTTACACCGTTTTTCGAAATATTCTGTCAAAATCATGGAAGGGGACACCATAAATGGGCTTCATCCATTGTACTCATGCTGGGTATTAATCCCGGGCCTTTAGCATAACAATGAAACGCTGCAACGACTAGGCTATCCAACTGGTCCATGAGCCCAGGTGCAGAAAGTGATCTTCGTGCTGCGACTATCGTAAGCCTATGTTAAAGTATGAGAGTTACGATCCCCTTAGCACAATGATAGCTTTGTGAAACAGGGCCCAGATCTACGTATCTGTTTCGAATAAATTTAGACAAATACACTCACCCTAAGGTTTGCAGATGATACTGTATATATTAAAGCAAGTGTCATTTCAATAGGGAAGCTCAGTTTAGCTGGTCTCATCCTTACCTTATCTGTGACTGTAGCAATGTAGCGCTGTAGCTCCTGGTCAGAGGGAAACTGACTGACATGCTTCACCATCCACTTGACCACCTTGATGTGTCCTTTCCGAAATGCAGCCATTAAGCAAGACACCTTACGATTGTCCTGACTGTCAATGTCAGCTGCCGACGTCACCAACAACTGAACCACATCTAGGTGACCTCCTGTTGGAAGAATTGCGTGAGTGAGTGAATCTTTAAGCTGCCAGAAGTACTCAATATCATCCAATCAATTTTGGCAATCCATCATTCACTACCACATAGTTTTTGTTTTCAATGCATATAACTACATACCCTAAAAATACAAGATGTATTACAGTATCTTCCACCAGATTTATCACTGGTTTCTCTACCAGCCTCAAGAATCACCTCTACTTACCATTGCAAGCCAACCACAGGGGTGAGTTTCCCTTCTTGTTCTTGACGTCAACAGCCGCACCCCTGTGCAGAAGCAGTTCCACAAACCGGTAGTGTCCCTTGTCAGCTGCGATGGTGAGGGCTGTGTCTCTAGAAGAGGGTACGGGTGGGGCGTTGACATCGGCTCCTCTCTCCAGCAGCACTCTCCCAACCTCCACATAGCCACCAGACGCAGCTTCCATTAATGGGGTCAGTCCAGTCTGGGTGATCATAGACAGGAATTACCAATAGGAAAATGGTAATGTTTCTATAGACCATTCCAAATGTAAAACATTAGGTCTCCGTAAGGAGGTTGTCAAATATTCAACTTTCAACTAGGTATCTGGTTAGCTTATTTGATATACAGTACTAAGAAGGACTTGATGTCTACCTAAAGCATTTTACCTTAGCCCTGTGCTCAATGTTAGCTTTTCTGTCAACAAGTAAGCTGACAACCTCATGTCTTCCCTGAAAGCATGCCAGTGTCAACGCTGTGTTCCGGTTCGTCTCAATCTGCAATGGAAAATGGACTCCAGTTACTAGTCATAACCCTGGACAAACACCTGGTTGAAAGGTCCCAATACAAAGGGTTAGTGAAGGACATAGTTAATCGTCATCATACAGTGTTTCAATATTGCCTATACCTGAGCATTGATGTCACTGCCCATGTCCAGCAACAACTTGACAGCAGCTGTGTGCCCATTCATAGCTGCCAACATCAATGGAGAAATGCCCAGTTTGCTCCCAGTTCTGCAAAGAATACATGGTTCTTACATTCCTCGGAGCACTAATAAAGTACAAAAGAATATAAACTAAATCGTTGAAGAGACACTCCTTACATTATACAATTCTCCATTCACTCCTTCATTGATAGTTTCACAATTATTCTTTAATGATAATTTAGGCTAATATCCGTAGAAAGTTCACAAAATGTAAATGACTGAAGTAATCACAGTTCTTCAATTATAATGACATCACCATTACTTTAAAACTAATAATCCCCCTTCAACACTGATATGCAGGTAATCATCGGTAGCCACGTACCTGGAGTTGATTTCTGCCCCGTGTGACAGGAGAAGCTTGATGATGTTGACGTAGCCCCCCGATGCAGCCAGACTGAGTGGAGTGTAGTCCGACACATTACGGTGCTCCTTGTTGGCTCCTCGGGCTAACAGCAACTCCACAACCTGGAGACACAAGGTTCACTGTATATTTGCAAATACCACCTGCACGGTTCAGACAGATATGGAACACTTAACTTCAAGGCCTTTTCAAGCCTGTATGAACCCTGGCTTGTACATTAAATAGTTTCTGTGTGGTACCTGTGCTTCACTCTAGCTTTTGATTGTGTAGGGCAGAAATGCTCATGATATATGTCTGACATACAATGTTTCAGATTGCTTCTTTTTCTAGGACAGTGATTGGTCCTCAGCTCATATATCCCAAAGATATTTGCATAAAATGGCAATGATATAGCTGAATGTCCTGTCAAAAGTTGATAGTCATGAAAGTCAAAGGTTCCTGTCATATCCCTAATGTTAAAAGGTAAACATTTAGTGGGTCTGTATATGCGAACACTAGACACTCAGCAATATTCCAGCTATATGATGGCGGTCTGTAAATATACGAGTTGGGACCACACAATCCAGTGATTGACATCATGAACATCTATCTACGGAATCGGGATACGATGACATGCACCAACCAAGTCAGCGAGCCAGACAACTCGATCCTGTTAGTCGCCTCTTACGCAAGCAAAGTCACCTTTTACGGCAAGCATGGGTTGCTAAGGCCTATTCTGCCCTGGATCTTCACGGGTCACCCCATTTATGTGAAACACTGCTTAATGTGAAGTAATTACCTCGTATCTGCCCCCTGAGCAGGCGAGGGAGAGGGGCGTGTCTTTTGTTCTCTCCGACTGAGCTTCGATGTCGGCACCATGGTCCAGCAGAATCTCCACCACATCCACGTGCCCAGCAGTGGCAGCCAGGATCAGAGGGGTGAACCCTACAGCATGGGGGCATCAGTCAACAAGGGAGACAATAACAAACAACTACAATTAGACTATGCTACAGTGTAGTCATATTCATATACCAAGGCGGAAATTATGATCTTCCAGACAAGAAAGTTATTTTTATTTAACAAAACAAGAAATAGCTCTTACAACACAGTTACTTCCATTTTACATACCTAATGCAGAATTAAATACAAATCTGACAGTTACTTTAAGCACAACTTGAGAGAATTTCTATCTTATCTGTCTGTCCATATACAAGAGTCCTTTTTGAGCTCTCAAAACAATACCATGGAATTGGGCTTTGGAACTTTGTTTCAATAAAGAGTACCAATTAGTTTTAGAGATATGGTCCAAATAAACACACCACTATGAACAGAGTCAAGTCAAGCTTGTTGCCTTCTAAACAGGAAAAGATTATTTTTTTAAATTCCTAAATAGAAAAAGGCACCACTTCAGCTCTTGAAAATACATGTAACAAATTTGGATGAAAAGTCTTGAATAGGGTTTTAGTTCTGCTCATGAAACGTCACCTGCCTCCATTTCAGCTAAGTCTAACAGAAAAAATTTGTCAAATTTTGAAAAAGTCTTAAAAGGGACAACCTTGGACAACCCATGACCAGTCCATCTTATGTATAAGGACTATATTCTTTTCAGCCAGAGTTGTGGAATAAACAGAATCCTAGAGTTACACACCTTTCTTGTCCCTATGTTCAATGTCTGATCCCTTGGACAGCAACAAACTGACAAGTTCTGCATGGCCGCCAGCACAGGCCAGAGTGAGAGCGGTGTCATGGTTACTTTCCGTGACAGCATCAACATCCACTTCGACTGAGGGGTACAGAGGGGTGAGACTTTGGGGGGAGGCAGGAGAGGGGTTGGGTGTCATCGGGGTGGATGGTGGTGGTGAGCCTAGTATTGGCATGTTCCCCTGAGCTAAGTCCTCTCCTGGGTTCGGAGCAACCCTTTGCTGTTTCCGGACGTGTTGTTGCTTGCTGTTACTGTTTGGAGGTTGCTGTTTCAGCTGTTGTTGTAGTTGCTGATGAAGAAGTTGTTGTGCCTGCTGTTGTTGCTGGAGGAACTGCTGTTGTTGCTGTTGGGTAAACAGCTGCTGGGTCAACAGTATAGAAAACAATTATGCACTTTGTATATCACTTCACATATTTCCTAGGTACAGAATTCATGCAAGAAATCTTCTATCAAGTGCATTCAAATAAACTTGTATTTCATGACAAATGTCAAATACCTCCTGTTCAGATAATAACAACAGTGGCTTTAATAAAATATATTATTTACATTACATATATTTAATTGTAATCTAATTTATTTAACTTATTGCAGCCACCTATTACATTAGTACAGAACCAAACCAAACCAACAGTATGCAAAATTGTTAAGGATTTAAAAAACAAAAGAATTGGTTCTCAAGCAATGACTTTTGAAAATATACAGCAGGCTAGGAGTGGTTTTGGGGGTTCCTTTTTCGCTTGTTCAAACTAGTATGCAACCAAATAAACAGTTGTGTACCATCAACCTTGGCCAGGGAAATTTGTACTAGACCCGTTCTAGCCTTAATTTCTAACCCTGGTACGATGACAGACAATCAAGTGACAGAACCTGACCACCAATCCATTGGGTCGCTTCTTACAATCAGCAAAGCTTGCTGGGGACCTGTTCAAACCAGGAATCCATGTAGGGGTACATCTATTATTAACAGCATATTTTTTGGGTGTACGACAACACTATCAGCATATAAACTGCTTCAAGGCAGAGCAGCCGAGACAATGTGGCCTACCTGCTGCTGGAGACTGGACTGTGGTAGGAGCTGTTGCAAGGCATGTTGCGGCAGCGGCTGGACATACTGTTGTTGTATATTCTGTTGCTGCAGCATCTGCTGGAGAAGCTGGTCTTGCTGTTGAGGCAGCTGTTGGATCATATGTGGTGGCAGCTGCTGCTGATGCTGTTGCTGCTGTGCAAGCACCTGCAGCTGTTGTCTCTGTACAGCATCCATTGCAATTTGGGCTGGGGCTGACAGTTGGAACTGCTCCTGAGACTGTGACCCTGTACATGCACATAGTGAGTTAGTGAGTGACTTGGGCAAAATGTTAAATTGAACATCATTTACTTACATCACAACATGTCCATTTTATGAAGGTGAAAAACCTAAATATATACTGACATATATTGAGGTCACTGGACTTCACCAGTTTTGTGCAGCCCACAAACATTGTGTCGTTTGTTTGCTTGTTCTAGCTTCATGATGGCAGCCTGTAGATAATTGAGCCTTCACCAGACAAACCAGTGATTAATATTCCACATAGTCAGGGTACAATGACAAACAATGAACCAAGTTGCATAGCCTGATAAGCCAATTAATTTTGTTGCCTGTTACAAGAACAGGTTGTTGGGGGCATATTCGTAACTCCAATCTAATTCTAATCCAAGATAAGTGCATCCTGATACAACTAAGGGAAGTAACCCTGCACAAAGTTAATTGTCACACCATTCACCATAGGGCCATCTATGCCTTCAACATAACTTCACATGTATCACCTACAAATGTTTCACTAAATTCATAGATCAATTTCAAAGATGTCTTCAGAATTTCAGTTTCATAATGGAGGGCTACAAAGTACTATTGGATCTAACGAAAACAGGCAAACTGCAGTCTGCTGTATTACAACCTATCCATTTCACAGTGAAACACATGCTTGGATCCAGCATTTTCTTATAGTCCTGAGATACAGAGACACATATCTTCCACATCCTCCATTTTTTATTAGTCATCACATATTAGTTCATGTGGAACTAGTTCATAGCAGAGTGAATTCTTGTGTATCTGGACCCTGTTTGTCCTCATTACTACTGTTGGGAATAATATATACTACTCAAAAGAAGTTAAAGAACACCCAATTCTTTCAAATGAAAGAATCTGTTCTTTAACGTATTTTGTGTAGTATACATAAAGTAAAAATTATACAAAAATCAATAAAATCTAAATATTGTTTACATTTGTTTACCTATCCTGCATTACTCCTGCATTAAGTAGACTGAATACGGAAACAACCTATTTTTCTTCCTGAAGGACCATCGTCTTTGTCGTAAGGTAAGCAGTAGATGCATTGAGGAGTAACGAGGGAGAAGTAAAACATCAATAGTAATTTATCAATACTGACAAAAAGGAAAGGTACCCTTGGGATCAAAAGGGTTTCCTGTATTTCATGAAGCATACACATGAATGATACTGCAACATTTACAAACACTAAATACAACATCTGTATTACTGTAAAACTGACCTGTGGCATCACTACAAATATGGAGACCATGCTCCTCACCTCCATTATGCTCTGATGATGAACTTAATGCTGTGGACTGAGTGCTTGGTGGGTTTTTACTGGTCCTTGACCCTTTGGTGTTACCACTTCTCTTGGACTGGGACGATGGTTTACCCACTTGATGTCTCTGCTCGGTTATACTGTTGGATGCTCCATTGTTGGGAGGTTGTGGCCCTGGCTGTAAAAAGGCTTCAGGGTAGTTGGGAAGAAGAGATTGGGTGGCGACAGAGAGATCAGCACTTGTGAGTAGCTTTGGCAGTTGTGCAGCAATGTCAAACTGAATGTCGGAGGAGACTCCACTTAAGCCGAGTCCTTCAGGGAGAGCCTGAGACTGACTAGATCCATCATCCTTCCGCTCTCCTTGCTTTGCCTGAGCTGCATTCTTAATTTTTGCTGCAGTCTGAACAAGCACCTGCAACAAATTGGTAATGATAAATAGTAGTGAAGTATCCAAAGATCAAAGTTTGATTCAAACTGCATTATCCCCATCATATACTTCTAATTAGAATAAGTTTGTGATGAAACGAGAAATGCAACATGGCGACTCTTCCCTGCAGCTGTTTGGATGCTTGGAGTTATGACAATCTGATTCTCAGTACTGATCATCAGTAGATTAATATGTCAATGACTAGCACGTACTTATGTGCTCAGTCTTGCTCTTAAACTCTACAACTTCTGTGAGTTTGTAAGTTGAAGCTGAAAACAGCTATTCTGGCTTTTCATGGCAGCATGTGAGTAACAAAGCCTAGGACAGGACACCAGCAGCAATCCTGTTAACACATAGTTACCACCCAATCCTCAATTGTTGATTCTTATGCCAAGCATGCTGTGCTGGACACCTATTCTGCCCTGCATCCCCACGGGGGGAACTGAGTGTGGCTCACCTGTTGTTGCTGCTGCTCAAACTGCTGCTGAGCGCTGAGCAGGAGCTGAGCCTGGGCCTTCTCCTGCAGCTCCCGTTCCACCTTCTGCAGCTCCTCCAGGATCTGCTGCTTCCTCAGTATCTGCTCCTCTTTGGTGGCAGGAGTGGTATTGATCAACTCTTTGGCCATGATGTTGTTAATGATTGCCTCCACCTTCTCAGACGCCTTATCCTCGGCAAGATCAGCTAGCATTGCTCCATCATGGTTCAACTGTTGCAGACTTTCTGCTATCACAGCATTGCTTGACTTTCCCACTTTGGCCTCGGCCACTTGGCCATTCAAACATCTCTTGGCAATAGATTTTTGCATGTTCTGCCTTATCACATCAGGGTTTTTTCCTGTGAATAATCAATGAATGTAAAGATTGCGATATTCATCAGGGTGCCGTTATATAAAACGATCTTAGAGCTAATGTGATCGAAACTCTCATACCTTAACATCGAATTACGATGGGCAAAGCGCTAAGGTTGTTTTGTACAATGGCACCCAAGTTATCTGGTGTCATATACTATTGTCGTATATATTGACAGAGGTAATAAGTGAACAGCTATTGTTGGTACTCCCCAAGTAATAATATGAACCAATTTGATTTGTGTTCCCATAGCTTTGTCCTTCAGTTATCAATATATGTTTGAACTAATGAATAACCAGTAACATAAAACAATCACATTAAGGAAAATCGCAACATACCTTGGATATTTGGTGTAAAGTTGACAGGTGAGGGTTGAGAGTCTGGCTCATTGGGTGGGACAATGTTAGCAAGACCTTGGACAGGGACTCTATGTTGCTGTAATTAAACAAAATATATTAAGAACACTGTTCACTTCTTAATATCACAGGGGAATGTAAATGACTCACTGTTAAATCATCAGTGCCCACTTAAATAATTTGAGGGATAAAACCCAATGCTCCAATGACATAGGTTGGATTCATAAGGATTTCTGCTTCACCATCTTCAGGGTATGTTCTACAAAAAGCTGAATGCTGATCTTTACCATTGACTAATCTAAACCAAGCAGGGTCCCATCTGAGAAAAGGCATATACCATATTTAATGTTAATTGAGTGAATACATTTTGAAAAGGAAAAAAGTCACAAAAAGCTTGAGGTTACACCGATGTCCTTGACCTTTCCATGACATGCCCCCCAAAATTCCCCTTGCTCAATTTGCAAGATCTCCTTGGAAGGGTAATCTGTGATGTCCCTTATCTTTGTGTAGTATTGTGTGTGTCAAATTCACCCCCCAAAAAGCTGTACTGTTTTCTGGAAGATGTTTGGCTAATGCTGCTTTGCCGACTGACCGCTGCTTGATGACACAAGGTCACGTGACACTTCCTGCGATAAAGATGCTTGTTTTCCTTACCTCTTCATGGTTGGAGTCTGCAGCATTGATCTGCGGCAGGTCAGGTGAGTTGGCCATGAGGACCCTGTTGGGCCACTCTAGCAGAAGCTTCACCACCTGAGTGTGGCCTCCCTTCGCAGCCTCGATGATCATGGTGGACCCGTCCTGGTGAACACAAACAGCATTGATAACATACCACGGTCATACAATAAGAAAGTTAGTTGGGCTTATTCACCAACAAGGTTATGCACCAAGACATGCACACAATATCCACAGGATATTGCACACAAAAATTTTAAAGTAGACAGAAGTGACGAACATCTGGTATAAGTCTGTCCTTACTAGCAAAGTGAATCATATATCCATTAAATGAAGCCTTGAAACACAAACCTTGAGCCTGTGTCCTGGATCAGCTCCGTGAGCAAGGAGCAACTCGACAACAGCCAAGTGGCCCCCAGCACAGGCCAGAGACAACACAGTGTGGTCATTGGTAGTTGTTGCACGATTAACATCAGCTCCTGAAGCAAAAGAACTTGTAATTAATCCTGAAAGGACAGAAGTCTCATTCAGAAGTCAGATAAGAAGATTGGTTGGGCACGTGACATTACTATTGGATTTACCTGTTCCCATAGTGGTTGAAATATATGGAATAATGAATAGATGAAAGTTACAGAACATTTTTCAGATTGCAGGGGTTACCTTTGATGATGATGAAGTTGACAGTACAGAGGTGACCAGCTCTTGCAGCCTTCATGAGGGGAGTTCTTCCTCCCTCAGACTCATGTTCCTATTGAGGCACAAAGAACAGGTTAGTACACTCCTTCAAACGAGGCACAAAGAACAGGTTAGTACACTCCTTCAAACACGGAACATCCAACAATAGTTAACATTGTTAATACTCCTAAGAATACTACCTGTATTACATCACTGCCATGAATCTTAATATTTGGCCGTCATCACACAATAAAACATTCAGATTTTCAACTGGAGTCCTCTTTACTGCCAACTTTCAATTAACAGTTGTGCATAAAATTGTATCTTGCTGCCCAAAGGCTCTTGTACATGCACAAGGCAGGAAACCTCACTTCTTTCCTGTGAGTGCTAGCATCAACATCAGTGATGTATTATAGGTAGGATATTCTCAGGAATTAAAAGTTTGGCTTTCTTAAAATAGAGATAGAGAAAAACATGTTTTATTTAGATTTCAGTGGAAACAGAATTGAAAGAATAAGTAACTGTTAGTTCGGGTATTGCAAGAAAACTCACCAGCTCTGCTCCTCTTTCAAGAAGCAACTCTGCAACATCAGTGTGACCATTCTCACAGGCATATGTGAGGGCAGTGTCTCCCGTGCCAGTCTGAGCATGGACATTGGCATCTGAAAAACATGAAATGACAAGGCATGATTTTGTGTATGAAACATGAAATCTATTTGTATGAAAGTTCTTGTACAAGTTGACACAAAAATTATTTTTCTCTTAAAAATTCAAAATCTTCAAAGAAGCATGACTTGTAAACTGTCTTGTCAATACAGTAATAACATGGGCTTTCTCAATCATATTGAGATATTGTGATACAACCTTGTTCTAATAGTTTAACTTACTGTGGTCCAGCAGATACTTGACAAGCTCCAGGTGGCCTTCCTGAGCTGCCTCCATGAGAGGGGTGCTGCACCCCAGCTCAATGTCGGCACCAGCCTTGATCAGGAAGTCGGCTACCTCCAGGAAGCCACCGCAACATGCCAAGGTCAAGGCTGTCTCTTGGGTCTCTTCAGTTTGGGCATTAATGTCAGCATCTGTGGGTAAATAGATTTGCTGATCAAGGATATTGGCTTTAGAATCAAACTACGGAGTGAATGTTGTTTTACGCCAACCAGTAATATTCCAACTATATCAAGATGGCTTGTAAATAATCAAAATGAATCCAGCAAATCGGTAATATTAACTATTTGCTGTAGAAACGTAGATGATATAAGGTAATGAACCACTTACCATGAGAGAGTAGGAGTGCCACCATCTCATCATGTCCCTCTCGTGCAGCCTCCATCAAAGGGGTGTAACCCTCATCGTTGACTTCCTCAATGTTAGCTCCACGCTCAATCAGCAGAGCCGCCAGCTCAACATGACCTCCACATGCAGCCAGAGTAAGCGGGGACTCAAAGCTGTCAGCAGGCATGTTCACCTGTAGAAGTATACATCATGTAGGTGAGAAAACACCCCAACAATAATCAATAATTTTCTGTCAAAGTGCACGGAAGTTAGAATAAATATTTTGGTAATTACAATATTTCAAACTTTATCAAATATCAAAACTGTTAAAGAGAAAATTGTCATAACACAAATTTTATTGGTTAATAAGTAAACGGGTGAAGATGCGTCATGACATGTAAACACCCACCCACATAGGTCGTTTCACACCAAGGACATAAATCTTAAAGGTAACAAGAGTTTGCCACTACCGTGGCTATATCCCCCGCCCCTGTTGCAGAATTTATGACATAATTAAATCTAAACAAACCCTAACCTTTTTTTAACCGAGGTGGAACTTGTCATGGAAATTGTAAAAAAAAAGAAGAGTTTGGAACCTAAGTCCAACTTGTTGCCATGGAAACGTAAAAATAAAAGTTTCTAAAATTTCTAAATAGCAAAAGGCACCAGTTCAGCATGTACCTGACAAACCTGCAAAGTTTCATGAAAAAATATTGAACGGTTTATGAGTTATGCTCCGGAAACAAACCCTACCCTCACAGAACCTAAGTCCATCTTGTTGCCATGGAAACGTAAAAAATACAAATTTCTAAAATTTCTAAATAGCAAAAGGCACCAGTTCAACATGTACTTGACAGACCTGCAAAGTTTGATGAAAAAATATTGAACGGTTTCTGAGTTATGCTCCGGAAACAAAACGTGATGGACGGACGGACGGACGGAGCCGTTTCCATATCCCCCGCCCAACAAAACATCAATCAAATGATTCCAAGACTTTTCAACAAACACGTAATTATTTTGTTTAAAATCCTACCTGCCATGTCATGATTTAAATTAGTCCTGCGCCTGTATTCTCTGGATGAGAACGAAATAGTTTGTCGTGATGAATAAGAGGAGTGTTATTAAAACATTCATCATAATGTGTATCACGGCACCAAACATTATCCTGTGGTGTATGTTATATTTGCAGCTTATGAATATCATTTCTCAAAATATCCATGGCAATCAGTTATTTCAACAGGGTTTCAGTCGCTTTCGTCTTGCCTACATATGGAATCTGGATGACAACGATGGTGAAAACCCTGGTAATGGCAAAAAATATTGTCAAGTAATGAAAGTAGGTTTTTAGCGTTTCCGTCACATGTTTTCACTGCCCAGAAGCAATGTGTTTTGGCTGAGTCACACTTGTACGAAAGCTCCTTGTGTCAAGTCACTCTGTGAAACTATGCGGGTTCCCGTGACCCAGATTATAATTCCCTGTTGATTCCTTTCATGGCATGCCAAGTATCATTTGCATTAGGCCATCCATAATTTTTTTAATGCGTTTCTCATCTGCAACCTCAACCAACAAGAGAGCAGGTGGACTAAATAAAAAATCTTTCCATATTTGTATAAGTAAATTTATGACATTTAAAAAAAAGTTCAAAACACATGGTACTAGTCTACAAATTTACTTAGGATGTAAATCAAGTCGCTTTTTTTCAGAAACGTATTACTAATATACAGTTTTAAAAAATTAAGTTGACCTAGATCTTTTGTGACTGTGCAGTGGTAGTAGTAATCAGATAGGTGCACAATTTTTGACAGAAGTAGGAAAAAAAGAGATACTAAAACTTTATAATATTTCATGTCGGAATGGAGATGGTAAACTCTGACAGTCACTGTTTGAAACTGAAACACCGCCAGCTTGCAGGCTATTTATTGTCAGGGTGGGCTTTAAGACAGAGAGTGTGACCACCTGATCTCTATTTTAGTCAAGGAACTGAGGATCTATTCTGGTTGATATGCCACTAAAGTCCAAGCAAAGCAGAGGTTGATAGCATGAGCAATTATCTACACGATATGGGCACAATGACACTCAGTAAGGCCACACTTTTTAACTACCAGATCCTCATTAGTCGGCATCTGCAACAAGAAAACTAGTGACCTATTCTCTCCAATCTGGTCTGTCAACAGACTACGCAGACTGACCTGTGCTCCGCTGTCAAGCAGCAGTCTGGCCACCTCCACATGGCCATCCATGGACGCCTCCATCAGCGCTGTGTGCATCTCGTCCGTCTTGTGTTCCTGGTCAGCTCCCGCCTCCAGAAGGAATTTCACCATCTCAAGGTGACCTGAAATTCAATACATTGGTTCATCCATGTACAGATGATGTGAAGAGGGTCTCATGTCACAACAGGAAATGTAAGGATGGGTTTCACAGAGTACCTGTGCTGATCATCTAATCTGTAACTTTTGAGATGTGAGAATGCACACTACAGCGTACTTCAACTTCCCTGTGTTAGCATCAAGAATACTGTCCACTTGTCACAATTCACAATAAAAAATTAAATGAAGTAATCAATAGTAATGAAAGATTTGAACAACAACAATACCTTTGTAGCATGCTAATGTGAGTGCACTCTCCTTGAACTCATTCGAGTGAGTGTTGATTCCAGCCCCGTTGTCTAGCAGGATGCGAGCTACCTCCACATGGCCGGCACTGGCTGCTTCCATCAGGGGGGTGTGTCCATTCTCATTGTGCACCTCCACTCGTGCATTAGCTTTGATCAGTTCTTGTACAACCTCCTTGTACCCACCACATGCTGCGTAGTGGAGAGGGGTGTTGCCTGAAGAAGGTCAAGGATCAATCAGCTCAAGCTTCAGAATAAGTATTTCACACTAACAATTAAAACAGTTAACTTAAAAGCTACATGAGGTTTTGATACATGAAACTATTAGTGATGTGACCATTATAAACACAACCTTGAACAATCTGACAGGAGACACACATTGTACCAATCCAGGAACCTGAGTCTTTGGTATGAGAAGCCAATGCTACAGCGCCACCTAATATTCATTTGAATAATGGTAGAGTAATGAGTAATAATTATGAGTAAGCACCCACCTGCGGAAGATTGTGCATCCACATCAGCTCCATGGGAGATCAGTAGGCGGACAATGTCTACATGACCACCACTCGCAGCTTCCATCAGGGGAGTGCAGTCACCTTTGATTCCACGGTCTTCCACATTGGCTTTCATAGCCAACAAGACCTGAGATGCAGAAACATTGTCCTGAATGTTATGACGAAATGTGTCGATTGCAGATAACCATGCCCCATCCTATTAAAATACCTCAAAACACGAACATTTACAGCTTAATCATGTGTTAATTGTTTCCTCTATCATGAACTGCAAGTTTCAAGATAGCACTACATTCTTTGTCAATCATTCACAATCATTAAGGGCCCTCTATGTGATGCAACTGCTAAGACTAAGCATCACTTAGTGAGGCCATTCTCTCCCCTTGACATCATCATTCACTGCCTCCTCACCTGTGCTAGTTCATAATATCCTGCAGAGCATGCTAAGGATAGCAAACTTTCTCCTTCTTCGGGTTCAGGCACATTGCCTCCATCGTACAACTTGCGTACGTTCACATCTCCCTCACCGCAAGCCTCGGCAAGGGATCTCGCACTGGAAACAACACAATAACATCAATTCACCTGATCAAATTGTACATGGAATTATGCATACAAAATAGAAAAACTATTATTTGTGAAAATAAGATGACATCTTCATAATCTTTCTTCTGAATTAAAAGAAACGGGGAAGCCATGAGATTTTAACAAATTTGTGGTTACAAAAATCCACGGAAAATCGCGAATCTGCAGAAGATTCTCACCCTTGAGAATCAACAGACACATGTACATAATTCTTACCATTCATTTGGGGCAAGTTGATTCTGTTGCTCTGCTCGCATTCTGTGTAGAGCCTGGGCAGCCTCATCCAGGGCACTGCTCACGGATGACGTCAAAGTCCGCAGCACCTCTGGATCCGTCAAGGCTTTTCCATCTTTGGACGACAATTTACTAATTCCTGGAAGACAAAACAAGTTGAATTCAATTGAAACCTTAATGTAAAACACAAACTACCTGTATTTCAAAATTTAGATCTAATCTTAATACACTGGAATACTGTTCCACACCCACTCTTGACTGGAGTATCAATCCAACAGTGAGACTTGTTTGTTGTATCATGAGGATGTGTTGTGCTGAGACAAGCCCTTTCTCAGAAGCATCAACATCAATTACACAGCTAATTGGTCACACACATTGTTTATTGATTTATTCTAAGGATAACAAATGTGTTATGTGTTTATTCTGTCAAGCAAGAGGTCAGAATGACATGGATTAGGGGGCATCCATAAGCAGTGTTCAAATTCAGAAGGGTCCTGAGGTACGAGGGGTGGCCAAAAGTTAAGAGCTAAGATGGAGTTGGTTGCAAATTATTTTTTAACATCATCCCCTCCGAAGTCTTCACACCACCGCCAACGATGCTGGGGTGTCTGGATCCCACTGGTGTGGAAGGCTTCCTCCTGGTGTTGTAAATAGTCCTCCACAGCATAAATAACATCAGACATGTGCACAAGTGCATTGTCGTCGGAGATGTTTAATGTTTCCACTGCAATAGCTGTTACTTAATATCTGACTGATAGTGGTAAACCCACGGCTCGTCCTTGGTTACAAATCACTCATCTAGGAAGCTGTCGGCTTCAAAACGACGCAAATTCTCAGGAGTTATAATGAACCTGGAGCATTTCAAATCAGGAGTTTTTACATTTTTGTTTTCATGCCGCTTTTAGCAATATTCATTCGACATCATGGCAGGGGACATCAGAAATGGGCTTCACACTTTGTACCCTTGTGGGGAATCGAAACCAGTTCTTCAGCATGACAAGCGAACGCTTAACCACAAGGCTTATGTTTACTTATCCTGCATTACTCCTTAAAGCATCTGTATCAGATGGTATGGCAGTGGGTATACCTTCAGATGTCAAAAACCTGAATAATCATAATCCCTTCAAACGACAAGTTGTCAAGGAAAATGTATGGTGAAAATCACAAAAGACAGACAGTAGGGCTGGTTCAATCTTATTTACAGAAAAAAAAACATGAGAACTACAGATAAGTCCAAGTAAACAAACAGTAAAACGGAAGATTAGTGTAAGCTAAAATCTTTATGTACTGTGTTACCAAGCCAAAGCTGTAAAGCTTGAAAAGTCCCCACCCCCCATTGGGAGTGTCAAGCACTGCGCAGGAAGGGTAAGAGTTCATTATTTGCGTCAGAGGTTGGTTACCTTCTGGGTTACTACCAGAGGGCCAAAGCTACGAACATCTTCCAACTCTTCGAGTGCCACATCGCAAAGATCATGGCTGGCGAAAACAGTGGTCAGACCTCAAAAAACTTCCTTCCGTGATTGCTCTAATAGAACAGTTGCTATGTTGAGCCATGGTTGACGCTACCGCTATGATCTCATTAGGACTGTTTGCTCTAGGTGGATCATGGTTAGCGATCTCGTAAGCCTGCAAGATGACTGCTCGTACCTATAGTGATATGGTGATGCGACTGACTTCGGTCACAGATGTATGGAATACGGGAATGAATAACCTTTTCTGCAAACCATGCCTAGTTTTGGAGCGGCGGAGGAATAACTCTTAGTGTGTATACAAAGTGAGTGAGTGAGTATGATTTTACGCCGCTTTTAGCAGTATTCCAGCAATATCACGGCGGGGGACACCAGAAATGGGCTTCACACATTGTCCCCAGTGTATACAAAGAACAAGGCGGGTTCACCCTCATCTTCGACCCCCACAATCACACATTGGCGGAATGGTGAAGAACCGGCCGGGTTGCCCTGGTAGTTGCTATGAAATTTCAGTACAACACGAGGTGTACCACTCCCTGCGTATCATGTTCAAAACGGACACGGGTGATTATACTCCCGGATTCATGCTGCAGTGGCTAAAGCCAAGAGAAATATTGTTTACTTGACAGGGATTGACTTAGGCAGTTATTCCGCGATATTCTCGCAAAGTTGTCGTAGATATCACATCAACATTCAATCAGCGCGATTGAAAATCGCGTACATCTTTCAATAGTTTTATTTGCATTAACACTCTCATTTTCAACTACAAAAATAAAAAATGTCGTATTGCTTGAATAAATTTATCAACGGTACCTAAAAATGTCAATAAAAAACTTACACATCAGTTTATTCAATCGTCAAAAGTTGTCAATCGCAACGGTGATTTCCATACTTGAAACATTGCATGCTATCTCTTACTGCGCATAACCAGTTTCTATATCACTGCATAGAGCTTTGCATCAGCTGACAATGGTGGAGGGCGATCCCCGAATGGCAAAACAAGTGTTTGTTTTTACAAACCAAACACTCTGGTTGCGCACAAAAATCTTATTCCGTGATTTACAACTCCAAGTCGTGAAACATATTTTTTTAAGACTTAAAATCATAGCAGAAATCAAAGACGTTGATCTACATGTCTGTGCGTCCGTGCAGAAATCATGAGAGAAAAAATACAATCACGGTTAAAGTTTCAAAACATGAGCAAATTTTGATTTTGGAATGACAGCAAAACAAAAGCTAAATGAATACACATACAACTCTATCTCCATAATAATCTACAAATTTCTGATCAGAAATGATTGTATATTAGATGAGATTCGCCTAGTCGGTGACGGCACTGGTGGAAGAGTTTTCATGAATGCACCCTCATGCAAGAATGGCCACCGTGTGTGAATTACAAATTTTGAACTATTTCTTGTGACCAAACAGCAAGTTGGAATTAGATATTTTAGAATATGCTACAATATGTTTGCTTCCAAATTTGTCCATAAATATTGAAAACTGTGACTTAAACATTCAAATGTAACTCTTCAACATTGTGAATGTCAACAGTCTTTACAACTTCCGGTTATTCGTAAACATTTTCTGGCTGCTGCACATGGCAAACACCCCGCCTTCTGTGTGAAATAAATGACTTAATTGTTGCTCAATAAACAAGAGGGTGAACCTGGAGCAATAGTCATTGTATACTGAACTGTCACTTCTAATTATTAGAAATCCATATTGACAAGCTTTCATTTGTTACGGTCAGAGACCCGGCCTCTGATATGATACACAGTCGGAAATAAGACAGCGAAATTGACAAAAGCACTGGAATGTAAATAATATATTTTTTGCCAACAAACTGTAATACCATTTACAACCGTCGCTATTTCATGTCATCACTCAAAATATATTGAATTACGATCAAAACACACATTGTCTAATTTGATAACTGCAGATTGTTGTCTCCTGAATGCCAACGAATAGAACAGCCAATTGTGATAACATCAGAAATGGGCTTCACACTTTGTACCCTTGTGGGGAATTGAAACCAGTTCTTCAGCATGACAAGCGAACGCTTAACCACATGGCTTATGTTTACTTATCCTGCATTACTCCTTAAAGCATCTGTATCAGATGGTATGGTGGTGGGTATACCTTCAGATGCCAAAAACCTTAATAATCATAATCCCTTCAAATGACAAGTTGTCAAGGAAACTGCATGGTGAAAATCACAAAAGACAGACATTAGGGCTGGTTCAATCTTATTTACAGAAAAAAACATGAGATAAGTCCAAGTAAACAAACAGTAAAAGGGAAGATTAGTGTAAGCTAAAATAATGCCAACGAAATGAACCGCCGATTGTGGTAAACATGCCGCCTAAACGATCTATGATTGTCCTCGCAAATAATTCCCCATTAAGTTGACAATGAACAGAAATACATAAATATTAGTGTAATGTCTCCTACAGTAGACAATGAACAGAAGTATAAGTCAAATGTAATTTTTTGTTAATACCAGTGCTAATATTTTTAAATACATGTATTCGCAGTGGGATAATAATGTTCGAAAATAGGAATTCCAAGCATATATCTATATGATAGGGCTGCAATGAATACACTGTGAGGCGAATACGATTTGTATCACAAATATAGTGTAACGAATACGAATATTTATTCACAAATACAATAACAAATCAGCAGTTGATTGATTATTTGTTATATTCAATTAAACAAAAGCAACACAAATTATTTGACATGGTTTGTTAATTTTTCACATATTATACATTTATATACTTTCCTTATCCAGGTACTAGTATCTGCTCAAATGACAATGACCAATGACCACATTACTGTCAAATTAAATATCATAAGAGTGTTGTCTTTGAAGAAATCTATGCATATTATGGCTATTTTTAGAAACAGGGTATGTAAATGAACATGACTGCATATTCATAAATATTCGATTCTATTGGTCACGAACAACAAATTCATTTCAAGAATGGATACGGTTCGATTCACCGAATACACGAGTGAATTGTAACAGCCCTACTATATAATCTAGTAATATTACTTGCAACATTATTTGAGTCACAAGTACCAAAGATCAAATACAGTTTCCCCACTGTGTAAAGATGAAATATCTCTGAAAATTAGCAAAATCTCATCACATGCCAAAAAATCTTATTGCTTTTGGACCAGTAGAGAATTTCTCTCATAGGTAAAAATTTCCAGGATAACCCCTGCTTGGTGAGGTCATAAAATGAGGATGTGTTGAGGGGCTCAAGGGGGGGCCACACAAACCTCAAAGTACCACATTCAAATCCCAAGCAGGGGGACGAAATTTGGCCTTCTGATCCTCAAGCCAGAAAAAGCGTAGTAGGGCCTGTAGTTCCAGGACATCAGTCATTTTGCTATTCCCCAGACCTACCAACACTGAATTGAGCACTACCCAATACGCTGTAATGGGGCTACCTTTTAAGTGTCTTTTGGTACGCAAATGAAGGAGGTATTCAGCTAAGAATTGAGGTGACGCTGTCATGGGATCTTGATTCTTTGCCTTATAAAAGGTTTCAAATGATCGCCACTTGTCATCATATAACCCCCTGGTAATTTATAGTGCTAGCACACTGAGATACCATGCCACAGTTTTAACATGAATATCCCACTCAGACAGTAAGACTCCTAGTCAACCCATTCCTGTTTTATCCCCTTAATGCCAAGCACCAGACAGTACAAAGTACCATCTTTTAACGTCTTTTTGGTATGGCGCCGCCGGGGATCGAACCCCGGACCTTCCGCTCTAGGGGTGGCGATGTGCCAGTCGCCCTCACCAAATAGCCCTTTGCGCTCAACGACTTTTGAAGACGAACTAAGTGTGAAATCTGCCTGGCATTGGGTGAGGTAGTTTGCTGTGAGGGTGGATGAGTTGGTTAGGAGGTGTAGTGGATCATCTCCTGCAAGGCGCGACCAAAGTCGGTGCAAGGCTCTTGGTAGCCTCAATCTTTTGTATCACCCTGGGAAGAAGTACAGGAGGCAGAAAAGCGTACACTTTTAGCCCTTCCCAGGGGATGCTGAATATGTCTACTGCCCAAACCTGCGGATCCGGGAGCCGGGAGCCGGGAGCCGGGACCCGGGAGACATATGTCATAAGTCTGTGGTGTTGGTGAGTCACAAACAGGTCGATGTTTGGTTGACCTGAATCACCTGTTGTTACACCTCTGAGTAAAGTTTCCACTCCGTGGGAGCCACCCTGTCTGGCCGGGATAGGGTATCGACCAGAATGTTCTGACATCCAGGATGTTCTGGACAATGAATTGTTGTCCCAGACGATCCACTAGACTAAAGAACCCGAACGGGCTGTTTTCGGTGGATATTGCGAGTTGGATGAACTGTAGCTGCTCCTGCCAATGTGAGATAGCCAGAATGAGCACTTCCTGATGGAAGGAGGAAGGAACTGTTGTATTGGGTGCAGATGAAGGAATCCTCTGCTTGTCAAATCCTTGGCTGAAGTAAGCAGCCACAACAACACTTGCCATTGGTGAAGTGTGCGTGATTGACGCAGGGCAGGTGACAGATTCCGTAAATCGAGGTCCTGATCTGCATGCAGTCTTAAGGTTGTGAGGCATAAGTAAGGTGGAAGCTCCCGTTAGCGCTCGTTGAACACTGGAGAGATTGTGAATCATCCACATCTTGTCCAAGTCCTTCTTGGGTACCAGAAAGATTGGAGAGTAAAAGCCCGGTGTCAATGCTGGGGTGTGTACAATCTCTACAGCTCTTTTCTTCAAAAACATGTCTATGTTGGATTTTAGTAGAATTATTTTGCTTCCTTGGATAAGCCCAAGGAGGAGGAGCCATGGTCAACGGTGAAGCTTCCTCTATGTTCAGACGGTAGCCGCAGCCATTGAGTATGAAAGTGTCCCTCAGTACAGCCCAGTTCTGCCAGAAGAGGCTCAGTCTCCCGTCTGCATGGGTGTCAACGATTGGGACGACTGGCGGTGGGAGCTTCCAACACACTTCAGCATTTCCCCTTATCCCCACCCCTGCCCTAGAACTTTCCATGGCGGGGCTGATAAGAGCCTTGTGGTTTGTCTCTGCGAAGTCCTCTGCCATGAAAGGAATCCTGGTCTGGATAAGTACAAATTCCTTCTTTGAATATCTGACTCCAAGATTCCTTGAAAACAAATGCAATCTATTCTCCAAAATATACATAACGATTTGTGTCAAAACACCTGAATGTTTGGCTCTGTTGCAATCAGCGATATTCCTTGTATATCCATATCTGGGCCAGTTGAACACATGGTTGACAGATGAGAAAGAATGTAGGTATGATTAACTATTGTGTGACCCACAGATTGTACTTTTGGTTGGCTTTTAAACTTCGGGAGGCCTGCACATGATTCTTGAAGAGGTGAGGTGAGATGGTGTTTAAAGTCACATCCAAAATTATTGCACTTATATAGTGACATGCATGCACATGAGTGTGCGTGTGCTTGTACTAGTCCCACTTGTGCTCGCCCACTATGACAACAGTTTAACATGGATACCCAACTCAGACACAGCATACCGAATCTAAGCTGACCATTTTTTTCTATCCCCTTTATGCCGAGCAGGTGTACAAGTACCATCTTTAAACGTGTTTAGGTATGACATGGGTAGGGATCAACTGCTGACCACCTTCTCTTTGTGCAGACACTCTATCCACGAGACCATGGATGCAGCCAATTCTTCCAGAAACAAAACTGATACGTTAACAATGACAACTTGCTGCTGATGCAGATTTCTCGTACTTGTGGGATGAAAAACAACAGATTAGGTGCTATTACCTGCAGCTTCAAGCAAAGCTTCTAATCTAGCATGAGTTTCTGGGTCTACTGTCTGTAGGCCCTGGGCGTCGCCACTCTCGGTATGAAGGAGGAACTTGGAACTTGGCTCCAATACATTCTCACCATCATCGATGTCATTGTCACCTTCATCAAGGAGGAAGGAGTCAACCTGAAACAGGGCAATGAAAATAATTGTAAATACCACGGACACTTTCCTACCTCAGTGAGAACAAAGTTACTGATCACGTTAATTTTTCATTCAAAACCATTCTTTCTACTCATATTTCATAAAGTAATGATCTTGGATCACTCATTCACAAAATATGACCATTTGTGTGTTGCTGTTTTATGCCAGAGTCGGCAATATCTTAGCGATACCCTCAACAATCGTTTCTGGACCAGACAAACCAGGGGTCGATATTGTAATGAGCGTTGTCACATGCCATCATGGCCATGTCAGTACAATGACACAATCAACCATGTCACCAAGTCTGACCACCCGATTCATTTTAGTTATGTCTTACAAACATAGGTTGCTGGAGACCAATTCTAACCTGAAATCACCACAGGGGCAATAAGCAGGCTTTAACTGGGAAGGTTTAAACAAACGTGAAGACTGACAGTCTAGAAAAAATTTGACAGGGAAAAAGAAAAGATTAGCAGAAGATAATTATCAGCATAATTTAACCCAGTACATCCCACACATTGACAGCTTCTGCTCACTGATGTAAGGAGTATCAAGAGCATGACAATAATATAAAGCACAAGCATAACTAAAAAAAACCAGTCTAGTCAATATAGATAGCTATCGAAAATTCAAATCTTATCTTAAGTTTAATAAAAATGAACATTCCCAGGCCATTCTTAGAACATGGCCTCGCCTCACCTAACCTGGTGTTTCACATTTGAGACAATAGCTTGGGATGTATTGTCATCAGTGAATAATCAAAATTCTGGCATGTTAAACCAAGACAAGCCTAAGAAGATCAAAATTTGCCTTGCAGGCATTCACAATAACGTCATAGTTGACATTAATGTATATCTGTCACAAGCACATAGAAATACTAATACCGATTGGAAACATTTCATTCGAATATGGGTGTTCTCAATTGGGAGAGGTTCCCAGTACATATGCCTATAAACATAAATGGCTCAGGTGGTCGGGCTCTGTGACTTAAAGATTGCATCTGATGATGTTGGCTGACAATTGCTGGTTTGTCTGGTCCAGGCTCGATTAGTTAAGACTGTTAAGATACAGCTGAAATAGTGCTGACTTTGTCATTAACAACCACCTACCAAAAAATAAATTTACTTCTAAAATAATGAATCCTATCCAGCTATGATATAGTACATGTTACATGTTTTAACCATTGGCGGCAATGATTTTCAATGATTTATACAGCAAAATCATAGTGGCCCACAGGGTCCAATAATAGGGACTTGAACTTGATGAATGCAGTTACCTTGACTGTTGACATGAGTGTAACATTTGGCAGGTACTTAACATGTTGAAGAGAAAATTAATTATTCATCATATAATTCACTGTAACCTGACTTACTGGAAATCACAATCTGTATCAGCTCAGGTGTCAATTATCATGGTTACTTACACAGTTGTGTTTACATCAGAAGATAAATTCCAGAGTTATCACTGTCTAAACTATTCTTCTCAGTATGACTAACCAAATTAATTCATGATTATCGCAAGCAATGGTTTTACCTTCACATTAAAGATTATGCACGCATGTGTGTGTCTGCTTGTACTTGTCTGGACAAATGCTGTTTTTATAGTGCCAGCCAGCCAAGCCCACTAAAAAACCATGCTGTAGTGTAACATGGATACCCCCTTCAAATACAGAATATTGACTCCAAAGCCGGTCAGTCCTTGCTCCATTCCCTTAAAGCGTCAGACAGGGTAACAACAAGTACCCTCTTTTAACATCTTTTGGTATGGCACAGCCAGGGTTCGAACCACCAACCTTCTGCTCTATCCACTAGACCACGGAAGTGTTTGATTATCATGACTGTGTAACTGTTAAATTTAATATCTAACACCAAAAAGAATTAAACCTGAAAATATAAGAGGCCAAAAAGCAACACATGATCAGTGAAAGAATTTGGCACTGGTCCTGTAGTCCTTGCCAAACTGCCCAATAGTAAAGGTATCATAAAGACTAGAAGAAATTTGTCATTTTTAAGGGTCTTGCTATACGTTATCATTTTAAGGACAAGTAGACTAAAAAAGTTAGTTTCTATTGCTGATGATCCTTCAGTTTAGTATCATATGTGCAAAGGTTCAAGAAATTATAAATAATTTTGAGTTGAGTTCCCAAAATGATCCCACCCCTCATCATGCTCATGATAGCATCTCATCTTGTGTCGGTGGCATAAAACAAAGAGCTGTAGATATCTAGAATGAAGAACAGACATTCCAAACATTAACTACCCTTGTGTAACACATACCATTCACAGAAACTAGTTAGAATTTCACTACTTTTCAGCAACAAGTCATGAAGCCATGTCAATCCATTATTAAACTTTCAAGAGGTATTCAATTCACAAAATCACAAACTAGTACCGACATACTTCAATTACAAAATTGCAGGTGATTTAAAACACAATCTACCTGATCTACCAGTCTATTAGTTTGATCCAGTGGAGTGATTGAGAAGGAATAGATTGAATAATTAGTTATTGATTAATCTGATAAAATAAAACTATTACCAATTTGAAAAACTGGTGATTATCATGTCAGTGTGTATTAACCCCTCTGCTGCATAAGTTGATACCCCCAACTGAAATACCTTTTCAAAATGAAGATGTTTATTTTAGTTGTTTTTTATTGCCACACTAAGAAACATTACAAATATGATGACGACCTGTAAATAATTGAGCCTTGATCAGACAATCAAGTGACTAATATTATGAGCATTGATGTATATAGTAGGGGTATGATGACACAAAGTGCACCCCAAGTCACCAAGCCTGACCACCCGATCCACTCAGTTGTTTCTCTCGACCACCAGAGGTTGCTGGCGGCCTATTCTAGCCTTGAATCTGTACTGAGTTTTTCAAAAGATGTGCCTTCTGCCTTGGATACAGACCAAACCCACAATAACACCGCCCCATGAAGATCCGGGTTAGAATAGGGCTTCAGCAACCTATGCTTGTCATAAAAGGCGGCCATGCTTGTCGCAAGCAACTGACAGGATCGGGTGGTCAGGATCACTTTCTTGGTTGATACATGTCATTGTATCCCAAATGTGTGGAAAGATGCTCATATCAATCATTGGATTGTCTGGTCCAAACTTATTTACAGACGACCATATATGTAGCTCATATAGCTGGAATATTACTGAGTGTGGCATTAAACAAACAAACACAATACAGCTGATATACATAACAGGATATTTTTCATCAGCTGCACTCTCAACTCTATTTGTGTATCCAAGCTTTGTTTTTTGTTCTAAAATGACAGAATATAAATATTCCCAATTATTCACTTCCTGTTATCATGAAAGACAAAACACTGCTCATCCACACAATGATAATGCCAAGAAAAGTAACAGCAGACATTGCAATGCTAATTAAACATGAAACAACTCATGTGACAACACCTTAAACTATATAATCTTCACCGGCTAGCCCAACTTATCTCATATGTGTAGACCTTTATCATGTATTAAATGGAAAACAATGTTTTGAAGGAAAGTTAATGCTGTCATTGAATCAAAAAGTGGTCTGTTTATTTACTTTTAATTTATCGCAAATTGTAATCCGTTGAGAAAGAAGATTTAGAATCACATTCCTTTCAAATATCCTCTTTATTTGACAACAAGAATTAGTCAACAAACATAGCCAAGTGCTAGTATTTATACATGTACATGGTTTTAGTGAACACAATACATGTGCATGAAAATTGAGACCCACGCAAATAGTATCCACTGAGAGTCCCTTGGAATGTTAAAAAGTATAAATGTTTGAATTACTAAAACCAATATTGTAGCATAAACGTTAAACATGAAAAATACCTTGTGACCTGCTTCGTCACATCAGATTCATAATGTCATAGATTAATGTAAAAAGAACCACCACCACCACCCTACACCCCTGATTACAACTGACTAATAATCGCTTGAGAGCTCTGGTTATCAATGAGATCAATTATTCGGAGTCATAACCAGCATGATGTCCACCACTGCACAAATCTTTATGATCTTGTCTTTCCATCTTGAATGAACAGTTCCTATGTCAATTCAGATCAAACAAATAATACATCTTGTCATAGTTGCCCAGATTGCGTCAAAGATACATATAGTGCTTGCAGTATGTAATCTGTGCAAATTTTATTTATGTTAATGCAAATGTTGAAAATAATTTGTTGTAGTAAAATATATAAATTAGTTGAGCTCTTTACACTCAATGACAATAGGTAGAAATCGCCTGTTGCTAAAACAACCAAAGACCTGACGGGTCACTTGAATGCATTTACCTGTGATTTAAATGCTACGTCGCATCAGCATTATTTCAGCCACACAGCGACAAATGTATCTACTAGGGTCAGCATATTGGCACATAAATAACATTGCAATAAATCGCAATATCATGGAGCTGTACTGCTATACATATTGCAATACATATTGGGGCCCAGATTATATATATTTGTACTGTTCAAATGGTACTGCTTCACTCAATAATTCAGGCTTCAGATTGAGAAATGGGTATTGACAGTATAGATAAATGAGACTTATTAAGTCACTACCCATTATGTCATCAATATGGAATGTAATGTAAACAGCACAAAGCGTTTGCTGATTAGATAGGAACCCAGTCCATTCAAATACCTGAAGATACTAGATATAATTATATATCAATTCTTCAGAAAATACTGATACACAAGGTTGTATTGCGATAAGTGTTTTGCTGACAGCCATACTGCAATATATCTGTTATAACGCAGTCGCACGCCCCTAGTATGTACTGAAAAGGCAATTGATGACAAATTTCAAATGCCAGTCCTCATATCACTCCATTGCCTCAACTTTGTTAAATATTGATAAAAAAATCTGAAAATCAACTATAAAAACAATTTTCTTCTTGGAATTCCAATTGCCAAAATCATAAACATACTCAAAGTGGAAAACTTGCAGCATCTATGACACGGATTCAGTCATAGCTGATGAATGTATATTGGACACAATATGTATTACTGTATGCTAATCATCATGAAATTATACTGCATAATATATTTCTTTTTAACACACTGGCTACCACTGATGGGATCATGAGAAGAGCCAGTAGAACCGTCAATTAAGTTCAAAGTTTATGAACAATATTGAATCAACATTATATTTATGTTGATAGTACGTCTTGAAAATAACTGTAAATTGCCTTTTTCAAAATCATGCATATCTTCATCTTCTTGGCAAAGTTTTTTACAACAATGAACAAGTAGAACTTAAATTATGAAATTTATGATAAAAAAGGCGAAACTGTTTGCGACCAGTTTCCTGTATATAATGTCTCTATTACTTCATCTCTTGTGACCACAACATCCAACAAAATATGAAGTCATAAAAATGTGAAGGGTAAAGTTTCGTATATTCAGGTTCATACTGAACCAATTACAGATGAAAGAATGCATGCAAAATATTGTGTTACTTGAATCAATATTGCAATAGATTGTGTTATGAAATTCAGACCAATACCTATCACTACTAGAAATGAAACTTGATTCCTCTGCAAGACACGTGTAAATAGAAATTCATATATTTGACAATTATGTACTTTGCAACACACAAATTTGCATATTTATTTAAGAAAAGCACATTTCCTTTAGTTTTGATACAAAACAGATCACCAAGCACAAACGCGAAAACCAAACTTATCCCATTAATCCTGACAACTTCTGACATCTAAAGATACAAACACACGTAAAACAAAGCATATTTATCCCCATGAATGAACTTCAAACTGTAATGTGTTTTTCAATAATAAACAAGTTCATTCTTTATTGCCAAGTACCCATTGAACAGCCATATTGATTGTCATTTCTTGCATTAGAATTTAAGGTGGGACGTCACCAAACCTGACAATTCAACAGTGCACACGTTGTGTCAGTCAACTTAGTGTTAATGTAAAGTACTGCTGTACACCAATCAAAACAGTCTGTTATCATTCAGAATTCAGGTGTCTGAGTCTTGATAAGAAAGAGTAAAAAACTCAGTTAAACACTCTAAAATATGTTATGACTTGACAAACATTCATACTTTGTAAATAGGTTTGAAACTTTCAAAGTTTTAATGCTGACCTGTAAGAAAAATGTTGATGTGTGCACCATACACGGCTAAAATATAAACCAATCAGTTCGCAAACACAGGTGACATAACTCGAGCGCGGAGAAAGTTTATAGATGAGGCTGTGGAAGTCATACTTTTACTGTGGAATCTTTTCCTATTGGTAAATAATCTGAATTCCATTGAAGACATAATCTATTTGTATCGCTATCAACATGAATTTAAGTTTTGATTCATTCATTCCTTGATATATCAGCAATGTCGTCTTAACAGGCCAAAATTAGGGTGTGCAATGATAATTATGCCAGATTATCATGATTATTGTACCAACGTAAATGAATTTGTCAGATGTACTATTTGTTTTTTTCAGCTGAAAAATGTCACCATTCAAATAGGAAAGTGCCACAGTTAATTAGCAATGCATGCACATTAAGCTCTGACAGCAAACCTATAGGCTCTTCAACAGATTTCAAGTTTCCTCAAAATACTTAAATAGGAAGGATTTAAGGCGTGGAAGAGGATACTGCCCAAGTCAGCAGGTAGCTTGACAACAAAAATGTACCTGACATGAATGACATGAATGACCACTTATTAAAGCTTGTGACAAGTTAATAAATTTGATGATGTTTCAGTTTCCTATGTTTTTTGGTCACATGGTCAAATCAGATTCCCCATTTACATCAGCAAATGTATTGATCTGCAACCTTTAACAGAGCACTCATTAACTGTGCATTAGGCATAAAATTCTTATTATGATGATGTCATACCTCGGAAGCTTCGTCATCATCACTACCCGACATATCGGGTCCAAAATTGGACTGAGAAGTCGGCAATACTTGGGATTTCTCCACAGACGGCTGTAATGATGGTGTCTGCCCCTGTTCAATCTCGACAGTTCTCACTTCCTTTGCATCTTTATCATTTTCCTGAGAGGCATTCTGATTCATTTTGACATTAATTCGCGTTCTCTTGGTAGTTTTACCCACAATACGAGACGGACAGATGGCTATATCCTTATATTTCAATCATGCTAGTTGCCACCTTGACCGCCATTACAAATGTTCCATACCAAAACCCCGGATGAATACTACTGCGCAGGAGCAGACAATCGTCAGGGTTGTAGCAAAAGTTGAACTTCGTGCCCATTCAAAGTTGTATGGTTCATTTCCTCTCTAATTAATTTATTCACATTTATTAAGAAGGTAATAACTTCAATTATCGACTGAGTACAGACACTTTACACGTCAATGAGCGTTTTTAGCACTTATATGCCTCTGAGATGGAGTGGGACACGGGTTAAGGGAGGTAACTCGCGAACACGTGCGCATTATCATTATTACGTAGCCTTTGGAATGTGCAGTATGAGAGGAAATGGCCGAATAATCATATCCGAAAACGCCATCTCTTACATGGAATGAAACCGTTCATTGTGTGTCATCAATGCACGATTGTTAGACTGCACTAGCTAAAACGATTGGTTCTTTTCTTAAGAACATGTCGGGGCTACTGTACATAAAGAGTTTCAAAGGTCACGTCGCACTGTTAAAGCACTAGGCTATGCCTGCACATAGCTAGCCAGAGTTGGTTTTTGATTGTAAACAAATGGTTGAGTAAAAATAATTTTGGATAAGGTGTATAAATTTCTAAGAATTCTACCTGCTACAGTTTTAAATCACAAACACGAGATCCTTTTATGGCTGCCTGGTTTTGTTCTGTTGTCCAAGTTATGTAAATAGATCTTTCAAAGCTCCATGTAGATCTAGATCTGAATATATTTACTTTCGATCTCCTTGATCCGGACAAGGTTTCATCATTGTGTAGAAAAATAAGTACAAAATGAATTACATTGAACCATAAAAATGGATTTTTTCAACATAACTGTTGTTTTTGTAAAGCTGCTCAGGGTACTTTTCAATCTACACATATTCACAATGAAGACAATAAGATGGAAATACATTCTGAAGCAGCAGTCTTTCATTTCAGACATGATAGTATATGGCTTTGTGGAAACGTAAACAAGGTCAATGTACCAGAACTCTTGTACTTTCCAAGATTGGATTCTCTAAAGGCCACTCTCATTTGACTGGAATATTGTTGAGCATTAAACAATCACTCACTCACACTATCAGACCATTAAGAGTTAACAATTACATAGAAGAAGTTGTCCACAGCCAAAGATCCTTCACATTCACTGATAAGATTTAATTCGAGGATCGGAATATGAAAGCTTTTAACAACCCCACTTTTCGAATATGCTGTTAATACTATACGGACCCAGCGGAATTCTGGGTTAGAATAGGTCCCAGTCAACCTATGCTGGTGGTCATAGACAACCAAATGGATCAGGTGGTCAGACTCGGGCACTTGATTGTTTCCTGAAGGCTTGGATCCTTGCTCACAATATCGATCACTGGGTTGTCTGATCCAGATTTTATTATATACAGGCTAGCCATCATATTGCTGGAATATTGCTGAATGTGGTGTTAAACAAACAAAAACAAAAAACAATAGCGGGAGGAAATAATTATTATCAAAGAAGTGTTTTTATATAAATATATGCATGTGGACTGAGTTTTGTTTAACTACCCCATCTTTAAGATTACATGTTATAGGCCAAACACAGTTGGTACACCATCTTTAGGTGTACATGTTACTTGACTCAAACAGTTCGTTCACCAGCTCTAAAGGTACATGTTACATGCCTAACACAGTAACACCAGCTCTTAAAGAACAGGTTACAGGTCTAACACAGTAACACCAGCTCTGAAAGTACAGGTTACAGGTCTAACACAGTAACACCAGCTCTTAAAGTACAGATTACATGTCTAACACAGTAACACCAGCTCTAAAAGTACAGGTTACAGGTCTAACACAGTCGGTGACACAAGCTCTAAAAGTACAGGTTACAGGTCTAACACAGTCGGTGACACCATCTCTGAAAGTACAGGTTACAGGTCTAACACAGTAACACCAGCTCTTAAAGTACAGATTACAGCTCTAACACAGTAACACAAGCTCTAAAAGTACAGGTTACAGGTCTAACACAGTCGGTGATACCATCTCTGAAAGTACAGGTTACAGGTCTAACACAGTAACACCAGCTCTTAAAGTACAGGTTACAGGTCTAACACAGTAACACAAGCTCTAAAAGTACAGGTTACAGGTCTAACACAGTCAGTGACACCAGCTCTAAAAGTACAGGTTACAGGTCTAACACAGTAACACCAGCTCTTAAAGTACAGATTACAGGTCTAACACAGTAACACCAGCTCTAAAAGTACAGGTTACAGGTCTAACACAGTAACACCAGCTCTAAAAGTACAGGTTACAGGTCTAACACAGTCGGTGACACCATCTCTGAAAGTACAGGTTACAGGTCTAACACAGTAACACCAGCTCTTAAAGTACAGATTACAGGTCTAACACAGTAACACCAGCTCTAAAAGTACAGGTTACAGGTCTAACACAGTAACACCAGCTCTAAAAGTACAGGTTACAGGTCTAACACAGTCGGTGACACCATCTCTGAAAGTACAGGTTACAGGTCTAACACAGTAACACCAGCTCTTAAAGTACAGATTACAGCTCTAACACAGTAACACAAGCTCTAAAAGTACAGGTTACAGGTCTAACACAGTCGGTGACACCATCTCTGAAAGTACAGGTTACAGGTCTAACACAGTAACACCAGCTCTTAAAGTACAGATTACAGGTCTAACACAGTAACACCAGCTCTAAAAGTACAGGTTACAGGTCTAACACAGTAACACCAGCTCTGAAAGTACAGGTTACAGGTCTAACACAGTAACACCAGCTCTAAAAGTACAGGTTACAGGTCTAACACAGTAACACCAGCTCTAAAGGTACATGTTACATGCCTAACACAGTAACACCAGCTCTTAAAGTACAGTTTACAGGTCTAACACAGTCGATGACACCAGCTCTTAAAGTACAGGTTACAGGTCTAACACAGTCGATAACACCAGCTCTTAAAGTACAGGTTACAGGTCTAACACAGTCGATGACACCAGCTCTTAAAGTACAGGTTACAGGTCTAACACAGTCGATGACACCAGCTCTTAAAGTACAGTTTACAGGTCTAACACAGTCGATGACACCAGCTCTTAAAGTACAGGTTACAGGTCTAACACAGTCGATAACACCAGCTCTTAAAGTACAGGTTACAGGTCTAACACAGTCGATAACACCAGCTCTTAAAGTATATGTAGTGCATCAGGTTAATCCGGAAATTCAGTAGCCCCGTTGAACCAGTTGATCTGCACAGCCCATGGTCCTATCATCAGACTTTGCAGTGATTGCTGACCTATTACCAACTTTCTATGATAGAGTATGAAAATGTCAATTGTTGTTCCGCACTCCTGTTACAAACATGTGTACGATATCTTTCTGAACCCTGGGATGTATGAAAGGCACGACCTGTGTGAAACTTAGGCTGATTATAGGTATTCTGTTACCATTTTGGGTGAGACTGCAGAAATAGTGTGTGGCCACTGGTTTAATTATGTTGTTGTTGTTTGTTTGTACGGGTCGGGTGGAGTCATTACTTAATTACATGTCGGGTTGAGTCATTGCTCGAGTACAGGTTGGGTGGAGTCATGGCTCGAGTACATGTCGGGTTGAGTCATTACTCGAGTACTTGTCGGGTGGAGTCATGACTTGAGTACATGTCGGGTGGAGTCATTACTCGAGTACTTGTTGGGTGGAGTCATGGCTCGAGTACATGTCGGGTGGAGTCATTACTCGAGTACTTGTCGGGTGGAGTCATGACTTGAGTACATGTCGGGTGTAGTCATTACTCGAGTACTTGTCGGGTGGAGTCATGGCTCGAGTACATGTCGGGTTGAGTCATTACTCGAGTACTTGTCGGGTGGAGTCATGACTTGAGTACATGTCAGGTGGAGTCATTACTCAAGTACAGTTCGGGTGGAGTCATTACTCGAGTACTTGTCGGGTGGAGTCATGACTTGAGTACATGTCGGGTGGAGTCATTACTCGAGTACAGTTCGGGTGGAGTCATGACTTGAGTACTTGTCGGGTGGAGTCATGACTTGAGTACATGTCAGGTGGAGTCATTACTCGAGTACAGTTCGGGTGGAGTCATGACTTGAGTACTTGTCGGGTGGAGTCATGACTTGAGTACATGTCGGGTGGAGTCATTACTCGAGTACTTGTCGGGTGGAGTCATGGCTCGAGTACATGTCGGGTTGAGTCATTACTCGAGTACTTGTCGGGTGGAGTCATGACTTGAGTACATGTCGGGTGGAGTCATTACTCGAGTACTTGTCGGGTGGAGTCATGGCTCGAGTACTTGTCGGGTGGAGTCATGACTCGAGTACTTGTCGGGTGGAGTCATTACTCGAGTACTTGTCGGGTGGAGTCATGGCTCGAGTACTTGTCGGGTGAAGTCATGACTTGAGTACATGTCGGGTGGAGTCATTACTCGAGTACTTGTCGGGTGGAGTCATGACTTGAGTACTTGTCGGGTGGAGTCATGACTTGAGTACATGTCGGGTGGAGTCATTACTCGAGTACTTGTCGGGTGGAGTCATGACTTGAGTACATGTCGGGTGGAGTCATTACTCGAGTACAGTTCGGGTGGAGTCATTACTCGAGTACTTGTCGGGTGGAGTCATGGCTCGAGTACTTGTCTGGTTGAGTCATTACTCGAGTACTTGTCGGGTGGAGTCATGACTTGAGTACATGTCAGGTGGAGTCATTACTCGAGTACAGTTCGGGTGGAGTCATTACTCGAGTACAGTTCGGGTGGAGTCATTACTCGAGTACTTGTCGGGTGGAGTCATGACTTGAGTACATGTCAGGTGGAGTCATTACTCGAGTACAGTTCAGGTGGAGTCATTACTCGAGTACAGTTCGGGTGGAGTCATTACTCGAGTACTTGTCGGGTGGAGTCATTACTCGAGTACTTGTCGGGTGGAGTCATGACTTGAGTACTTGTCGGGTGGAGTCATGGCTCCAGTACAGTTCGGGTGGAGTCATGGCTCAAGTACGTGTCAGGCTTAAGTCATTACTGGAGTATGTGTCGGGTGGAGTCATTACTCGAG